AACCCCTCAGTCTTCTCTTTCTGGAGGCTTTAATGCTTGCTACTGCTTTTTTGTGCTTTTCTCCAGGCTCTCTCAGACCCTGTCCCCTTTTAGTCCTTTTCCTTACTCCCATTTCATATGCCTCAGTTCCCCAGTAGAGCCTTTTTTTTTTTTAATCACTTGTACCCTTGTAGCTTGTGTCATCAGATAACCCTCAACCCGAGATAGCACCCCCAGCCCAAGAGCCTCGGACAGAACTGGCGCCTCCAACCCCACCATTACCCCCTTTGCCACCAGAGAGGACCAGTGGCATTGGGGACTCCAGACCTCCATCCTTCCAGTGAGTCTTTGGGATTCTTGAGTCCAGGGGAGGGAGAGGAGGAGGGAATCCAAGCCTCTTGGGAGGGGAAGCCAACGATTTGGAGCTCTGTCCCAGTGACTCGGGTTGGCACCATCTCTGCCCATCTAGCCCTAATGTGTCCAGCAGCCGGGAAAATCTGGAGCCTGAGACCGAAACAGAGTCAGTAGTGTCTCTGCGGCGGGAACGGCCTCGCAGGAGAGACAGCAGTGAGCATGGCGGTGAGGGGGGTCGGGCCCTGAGGCTGGGTAGAGTGGAGTCAGGAAGGGGTTGGGTCAGAATCAAGCCTTGATGAGGGTAAGGAGCATGAGGCTTGGTTCCTGAAATGGCTATTCATACTCAGCTGGGGGCCACAGGCCTAGTGGCCCCTCAAGGCTGGAGCGACACCTGGCTGGGTACGAGAGTTCCTCAACCCTCATGACCAGCGAGCTGGAGAGCACCAGCTTGGGGGACTCCGATGAGGACGACACCATGAGTAGGTATGGCTCCACAGATCTCTCCCCAGGGCACCAGCCCCTTCTCCTTCCTCCTCCAGCCAATCCTCTCAGTTTTTTTTTTTTTGACCCCATGACCACCTCAGCCTGTAAGTACTCCCTTCCCAACCCCCTGACAGGTTCAGCAGCTCCACAGAGCAGAGCAGTGCCTCTCGCCTCCTCAAGCGCCACCGGCGGCGGAGGAAACAGCGACCGCCTCGCCTGGAGAGGGTGAGGGGGTCTCATGAGACAACTGGATCTTGGGGAAGTTAGGGGCCTGGGCCTTGGTTTAGTGGGTCCAAGGGCACAGACAATCCCAGGCTTGTCCCTGGGTTGTTGAAGGCAGTCTAGCTTCTTCTTTTTTCCCACCACAGACATCATCATTCAGCAGTGTTACCGATTCCACCATGTCTCTCAACATCATCACCGTCACACTCAACATGGGTATGGAGGGAGCTGGGACTGGGGGGATCTGGGGACCTGGTCTCCAGGGCTTGGGATTATGTGGCTTGGGCTTCCCTCATCACATGGACTCCTTCCACAGAGAAGTACAACTTCCTGGGCATCTCCATTGTGGGCCAGAGCAATGAGCGGGGAGACGGGGGCATCTACATCGGCTCCATCATGAAGGGTGGGGCCGTGGCAGCTGACGGGCGCATCGAGCCAGGGGACATGCTTTTGCAGGTGTGCTGGGGCAGGGCACTCAGGCAGGGGCTCTCAGCCTCTTCCATCTTGCCTGCCTCTGACCACCTTCCTCTCACTTTCAGGTTAATGACATGAACTTTGAGAACATGAGCAATGATGATGCGGTGCGGGTGCTGAGAGACATTGTGCATAAGCCAGGGTGAGCCTCTGAGCTGGTCTTGGGTCCTCAGTCCTCTTGTCTTTGCCTTTTCACTTTTTAGTTTCATAATTTTAACATGTAGTGAAATAACACTTATCTAAAAAGTACATAAAATAAAAGATGTGTAATGTAATGAGTAATTCTAGAGTGGATGAGTACCCGTGTCACCACTGCCTAGATCATGAAATAGAAGATAGCTGATACCCCAAAAGTTCCCCCCAGTGCCCCTTCCGCTCCCACCCTCCACAGTGCCCCTAGGGGGGTCATCACTCTCCCGATTCTTTGGTCATCATTGTGGCAAAATCTTCCTTTCATTTGGTAGTTTTACCACCCATGCATGTATCCTTGAACAACATGGTTTAGTTTTACCTGTTTGGGGGCTTCCTCTGAATGGAACTGTACAGTGTGTACTCACTTGTCTGACTCAGTATGTTTTTAAGAGTTATCCATGTTGGTGAGTCACCCACATTGTGGATGGAGCCTTCCACCCTCACCTTCTCAGGTCCAGCCATGTCTGTGCTCTCTCCTTCTCTCCCCATTTCTGTCCCTCAACCCATTCTCATTTTAGGCCTCCACCCTCCTGAGGCCTCTCTTCCACATCCTGCTTGACTGGCCTTCTCTTCCCCACAGCCCCATCGTGCTGACTGTGGCCAAGTGCTGGGATCCCTCACCCCAGGCCTATTTCACTCTCCCCCGAAGTGAGTGATGCTCAAGAGGGCCTGTAGCTGAGAGGATGGGAGAGCTGGGGCTGGGTCCCAAGGCTATTGGGAATGGGTGGGGGAAGGTCAAATCTGAGTCAGGGAGGGACAGGAATGGCTCTCTGGGACTAGAAAGTGGTCATCTTGGTGGCTTTCTCTGTCCTAGATGAGCCCATCCAGCCAATTGACCCCGCTGCCTGGGTCTCACACTCAGCTGCACTGACTGGCACCTTCCCAGCCTATCCCGGCTCCTCGTCCATGAGCACCATTACATCGGGGTCCTCTTTGCCTGATGGTGAGCCCCTAGGCCCACCTCATCCCCCCTTCCCAGAAAACTGCAGCATTGTGACCCCATCGCTTCTTGGGAGTGGGCTCTGCCTCTGATTCCCTACTTCTCCTCTGTCAGGCTGTGAGGGTCGGGGTCTCTCCATCCATACAGACATGGCGTCTGTGACCAAGGCCATGGCATCTCCAGAGTCTGGACTGGAAGTTCGGGACCGCATGTGGCTCAAGATCACCATCCCTAATGCCTTTCTGGGTATGGCTAGACCCTGGGCAGGTGGCATGGAAAGGGGAGGAGGAGGAGGAGGAGGTGGCCAAAGCCCAGGGTGAAACAGAAGTCGGAAAGAACCTGAGGCTTTTGTCTGCTCTGGGTGAACCCAGGTTCGGATGTGGTTGACTGGCTCTACCATCACGTGGAGGGCTTTCCTGAGCGGCGGGAGGCCCGAAAGTATGCCAGTGGACTGCTCAAGGCGGGCCTTATCCGGCACACAGTAAATAAGATCACCTTCTCTGAGCAGTGCTATTACGTCTTTGGAGACCTCAGTGGCGGCTGTGAAAGTTGTGAGTGCCTCTCACTAACCCCAGACCTTGCCCAGAAACCAGCCCTGCACTAGGCCCCGCACTGGCTGCAATGGTGGGGGCTAACGTCCCCCAGTGTTCTGCTGGACAAGCTGTGCACCATGCACAGGGCTATGTCTGCTGGGGGCAGGGGTACCTTTTCCTGAATCTCTTAAAATCATATGGGACTTGTGGTGGCCCTGGCTGATTTCCTGCCCTGATAGCAGTGGTAGGTGGGGAATTTCCTGTCCGAGGCCCTTGTTATAACCCCCATTGTGGATGGTTCTGGGGAAATGGTTCCCAGTTCCCCTTCATTCAATGTCTTGGTGTCCTGGTCCCTTGAAGCAGTGACTGTTAGTCTCTTCTCTTTCCAGACCTAGTCAATTTGTCGCTGAATGATAATGATGGCTCCAGTGGGGCTTCGGACCAGGATACCTTGGCACCTCTGCCTGGGGCCACCCCCTGGCCCCTGCTGCCCACCTTCCCTTACCAGTACCCAGCCCCACATCCGTACAGCCCCCAGCCCCCACCCTATCATGAGCTTTCATCCTATACCTATGGTGGAGGCAGTGCCAGCAGCCAGCATAGTGAAGGTAAGTAACTGCCAGAACCAATACAGTTGTGGGGGGGCGGGCAAGGGGGAAACCAGGGAGGAGAGGCAGGAGCAGGGGCTAGGGAGGCTGAAGGACCCTAGGCTAGGGCTCAGTTGCCCCCCTTCCTTCTCCTCCAACAGGGAGCCGGAGCAGTGGGTCCACACGAAGTGATGGGGGGCCAGGGCGCACAGGGAGGCCTGAGGAGCGGGCCCCCGACTCCAAGTCTGGCAGCGGCAGTGAGTCCGAGCCCTCCAGCCGTGGGGGCAGCCTTCGACGGGGTGGGGAACCAGGGGGGACTGGTGATGGGGGCCCTCCCCCTTCCAGGAGCTCATCAGGGGGTGCTCCCAATCTCCGAACCCACCCAGGACTTCATCCCTATGGACCACCCCCTGGTATGGCCCTCCCCTATAACCCCATGATGGTGGTCATGATGCCCCCACCTCCCCCACCTGTCCCTCCAGCAGTGCAGCCTCCAGGAGCCCCTCCAGTCAGAGACCTAGGCTCAGTGCCCCCAGAGCTGACAGCCAGCCGCCAAAGCTTCCACATGGCCATGGGCAACCCCAGTGAGTTCTTTGTGGATGTCATGTAGAGCCAACAGTGTGGTATGTTGGATCTCTACCCTTGGCCTGTCCAGTCAGTGCCTTGTGCTCCTGTCCTGTGATTGGTGTCCTGTCAGTCACGTGCTCATTACTCCTCCAGTGGTGCCTGGGTGCCTGGGCTCAGCCTGTCCTGTGGGCTGCTGCCTACTGTGAGGTTACCACTGTGACTCTTACCAGCAGTGCCTGGTTCCTCCCCCTTCCCTCAGGGGTGTACAAGGGACCTTTGGTTACTTTTAGTTTGTTTTTTTGTAAGCTTTTTTGGGGGTTAAAATAGATTTAACATTTTTTAGACTGTTTTTTAGTAGGTATTTCCTCTTTTATATGAAGAATCCCTGTCTCCCAGGCCCCTTTTTAACCCCAAAATGTGACCTCATTCAGCCAGTCAGCTCTGTCCTACTACCCTTGGAGGAGAAGGGGGGTTGGTCACCCTTGACAGCAGTCAAAGGAAGCTGGGGTATTTGTTATTTGGGGGTATGTAGCTGCTTTTGTCACTCTATTTATTTTGGTCACTTATATAAAATACCAAATAAAGCAATAGGGGCAAACTCCCTACGCCTTTGGCTCCTTTCTTTGGGAGGGAGGCAGATAGCGAGGGAAAGGACTCAGTAGCAAAGCATGGCTTGCTAGAGACTTTATTTGTAAGGTAGTGAATGCTTCCTCTGAGCAGGCACAGTACTGGGGTGAGGCCACTTCAAGGGAGAACCAGGGCCCACAGGAAAGGAAGGGGCCTAGGCTTTGGCTTAAGAGAAGGCACATTACTGGCCAGGCCTTGGCTGGGAGTATTCAGAAGCCGAGGGGGTTGTTGGTGACCACGCCACCCTGCTCCACCAAGGCCTTGGAGATGCTTCTGAAATTACGGAAGAGCTCCTGTTGCTGGCGGTCAGACTGCAGAGCAGCCATGTTCTCCCGGATCCGGGCTGCAGCCTGGGGACAGGGAAAGAGGGATTCAGAACTGTGCCTTGAGCCCCCCACCTGCTCTTGGCAACCCCGAATCTCACCTCAATACACCAGCTGTCACAGAGCATTTTCTCATACTGGGCTGTGGGGTGGCCCTCACTCAGGGATTTTGAGGCCCTGGTGGGAAGCAGGAGGAGACAAAAAAATCAGGGCTCTGACCCTGGCCCAGGACCCCCCTGCAGCTCAGGCTTCTCACACTGCCTCTTCACCTGGAAAGCACCACCACCATGGCATAGAGGTCAATGGCACTGTCTGCCAGACGTTGAAGCACAAGCTGTTCATCTGTCAGGTAGATGGGATTGAGGGGAGGGGTGTTAGTTTGAGGGAGAGGGAAAGGAGGGGGTGGGAATGAGGTAGGGCTCACTCACTGACAATGTCCTTCTTGTGTTTTATCAGCTTGGCCTCCACCACAGTGGCAAACTGCTCCAGAGCCTGCACTGCCTAAAGAGATGAAGAAGGCGCCCAGGGCTCAGAGAGGGACACAGCCCCATCAGCTCTTGACACAGGCTGCCCCCCACCCACCCAAGCTTTGATGTCTTACCAGTTCACCGCTCCGACTCAACTCCGGATGGGTGGTGCCACTGAGACTCAGGCCACTGCCCAGCCCTGCCCGCCTTGGAAGAAAGGGGAAAGTGATTGGTTAGTTGCCATACACTGCCCTCCCTGCTCTGGCCCTTAAGCTTACCGCCTCAGCTGTTTGCCTGCCTCTCCTAGCAGGAGGCCGGCATTCCCAAAAGGATTCTTCAGAGCTTTGCCAAGCCCAGAGAGCTCCTTTCCTTTGTCCTGTAGGGAAGAGGGTCCAATAGTCAGGATTCCCTGTCTTTTCCACCTCCTCCCCTCAATTCTCCTCCTTACCATACAGCCCTGCAGAGCCACAAACAGCCGGAGAATATCATTCGTCCCCTCAAAGATCCGGAATATGCGAAGATCACGGAGCACGCGCTCTACCCCAGGCTCCTAACACGGGAAGATAAATCATACACTCCTGTTGAGTGAGGTGTGTTTGCCTACTCCTCCCAGCCCAACTGCAGCTAGCAGGAACAGAGAACTATCTTGTACCTTCATGAAGCCCATGCCCCCCATGATTTGGATGCACTCGTCTGTCACCTTCCAGGCTGCCTCCTAGGGACAAAGAACTGTATTAGATTGGTTTTGGAGCCAAGCTTCCGAACTGGGCTCTCCCTCCCTGCAGGCCTGGAATCTCACCGAGCCAAAGATTTTGCTGATGGCGGCCTCTATCTGGAAGTCCGTGGATCCCTGATCCATGTTGGCACTCACCATGTAAGCCATGGACTGAGGTTGTGTGGTTGAGATATGAGAATGATAAAGGGCTGCATCAGAATCAACCTGATCACCCAAATCTCCAAGACCAGATCTGCCCCAGCTCCCTGTAGCCCTGGCCTTCACCTTCTAACTCCACATGTCAGGCATATTGAGATATTTGGTCCCTGGAGTCAGTTCATCAGGGACTTTCTAGGCATTTGACTGGAAAAGGGTGATGAGGTAAGCGTGGGTGTGGGTGGGAGTAGAATAACCTTCAGGTACCTCTGGAAACCTCTGGAAAGCACCTCAGCAGAACAGTGTGGCTCTCCCTGTTCTGCAGTTGGCTATGCCTCCCCGCATCCCCTAGGGCATTGGTGTAAAGCTGGAGACCCACTGCCCCAGGTGCTGCTGGGGGTTGTAGTCTGACTCGACTGGGATGAAGGCCACAGGAGAAGCACATGGGAGGACCCTCACCTCGGTCACATACTGCAGCATAGCCATCCGGGCCAGCTTCTCCTGGATCAGCCCAAAGTTGTGAATTTTCTCCCCAAACTGGGTACGATTAGCAGCATGATCCACCTGGAAGAGGGCACATGTGTCCCACTGTGGTTCTCTAGTCCTTCCAGGAGAGGGGCTGGGCTGAGCTTGGAAGACTAGGCTTTGGCCACAGCCAAGAAGAGTTTAGGCTTGCTGGAGACTAAGCTATCGGGTCTGGAACTCTTGGTGGGGGAGGAGTCTTTGGTGGAGGGAGTGCTTGCACGCAGAAAGGAGGACAAAGTGACTTAGATTTAGGCTATCTAGGGACTCAGTCAGGGTACTCACCGCCTTAGCAATGATGCCCTTCATGGTGCCTGCAAGAGCTGCAGCCATGCCAAACCTTCCATTGTTGAGAATGTGCATGGCGACCTTGAAGCCGCCCCCCACCTCACCCAGCACATTCTCTGCTGGCACCCGTACTCCATCAAAGTACACCTCTGCTGTGTTGGAGGCCTTGATGCCCATTTTCTTCTCAGGGGGCCCACTGTGACAGGGCAGAGAAGCAGAGGTGTTTTCAACAAGTTGCAAGGAAAAGTGCCCCTTCATTCCCTATGAACCACGGAGGAACTACAACTCCTAGTCTGCAGACAACAATTCCCTGCATACCCAGAGTGCTATAGAGGCCTGGATCTGTCCTGCTGCCCTATACTGGGCTCACTGTGTTTTAGTCCCAAAGGAACACCCTGTCCAGCTGCGTTGACTTTTGCACACATCCCCAGGGTGACCTCTAACAGCCATCTGCCCCAGAGCTCAGTACTGCCCTCCTCCCTGGCTCAACCTTTTTCTTCCTCCCAAATCCACTCACTGGGTAACACCTCCAAACTGCCTCTCCACCACAAAAGCTGTGATCTTCTCCTTCACGGCCCCTGTGGCTGCATCTGTAACTGGTGTCTTGGCAAAGACTGTGAAGACATCTGCCAAGCCCCCATTACTGTGGAAAAACGAGGGCAGTCAGGGCATGGAAGATAGCAGTGTAGCCTGGAATTGGGCACAGGAGGGGAGAAATAGGAGAAAGATTGCCTGATCCAAATCTTGCTTCCGTTGAGGGTATAATATTTTCCACAGGGACTGGGTACAGCTGAGGTTCGGATGGAGGCTGCATCTGACCCACTCGAGGGCTCAGTTAGACAGAAAGCTGCTATAGTCTCCCCTGTTGGGCAGAAAGCTCTTTTATACTGAGCCCATTGCTGGGTCTTGAGAGCACTGAAGATTCCTCAGTGCACCACCCTGCCCCCCTAAGTCACCATTTAACACCTTGGGTAATACTCAGTTTCTTCCCGTTTCCCTATGAACACCCTGTCATGTCTTCCCCAAATCTCCCTCAACCAATATGCCCAACTATGTGGAGATCTAAATAGCACCTAATTTATGTCAACCCCAAAGCACCCCTAATCCCTGGGGCTACTAGGCCTGCCTTACCTGATGCCAGTTTGGGGAGGTATTTTTCTTTCTGGGCCTTTGTGCCAAAGAGCAGGATGCCTTTGAAACCAATGCTCTGATGGGCCCCCAGGGTGATGCCCACACCAAGGTCGTGCATGCCTACGATCTCCACCAAGCGGGCGTACTAGAGAGGAAGCAGGCATCTAGAGCTGTAACTGGCCATGCATACCTGCCCTTAGTAAAAAAGGTGGGCAGCAGGGCAGGGCCTGACCTGGGCATTCCCGGGAGAGAGAAAGTGGAGCCATGGCAGAGGACACTGGCTGGCTAGTGTCCATCCCAGGTCTTGATGGCTTCTTATCCCTGTCAGGTGGTCCCCACTTAGAGATTCATTAGGATTTGGAAACCTGGCTGAGGTCCATGGCCCTAGGGCACTGTATGTAGCTGTGGTGTGCTTGGAAACTGTATATATCCTAAGAGTCAATGTTCTATGGGCTTCCAGGGCAGATTCTTAGTGACCCTAACACCAGAAGTGAGGGAGAAACTGAACCTGCCAAGCTGAGTAAACTGCAGACCTGGATACTGGGAAGTGAATGAGGGGATCACTCACCTGGGTATTGCAGAGGCCCACGCCACCCAGTTCACTAGGCACTTGCAGACCAAAGGCCCCCAGCTCCTTGAGGCCCTGTATAGTGGTCTCCTCCACCCGCTCCAGCATGTCATTCTTGGCAGGATCATTCACCTCCTGGGGAAGGCACAGGATTCCACATGCAGTCCCCTTTAAAGGTCCTTAACATCTCTCCCACCCCATTAGGAGCTAAGCCCTATATTCCCCAGGACCAGTTATTCCTTACCTCAAAGAAACGGGACACAGGCCCCACCAGCTCTTTGAGAAACTGTGTCTGCTCCTCGTTGAGCACTGCAGGGCAGCAGAGACAGGCAGGTCAGGCCAGGTGATCAGGGCAATCTGCTCTACCCCTGCCCAGCTCTGACTACCCCTTCCCTTACCTGATGGGTAAGGGAACACCTGATCTGTAGTGAGCTGGCCCTTGAACATCCCCACAGCAAAGGACTTAGATTCCTGCGACAGGAGAAGGGGGTTTCAGGGAGCTGGCTGGGGTGGGTCCGTCCCTGGCTTGCTCCTCCCAGACTCAGGGCTACATACCGCCTTCGCCGGTTTTTCCTTCGTTGAAACCTCAGAGGACAGCGAATCTGACTTGTCCAGAACCGCCTAGGAAAAGGGAGAGTTAGCATGGCAGGGGAAGGGGCTGCCGAAATGCCAAGGAGAAGAGCTAGGTGCCAGGAAGGTCAAATCTGGTGACCTTTCGACTAGTTTCAAAAATAGGGCACCGTGACCTGACCTTTTCCCTACATTCATGCCAGGCCGGTCGGCAGGCAACTGGCACCAAGAGGGAGACCCCTGTCGGCGGCGGCAGGAAGGTGGGAGCCCTGGAGGACGCCCCCCCCACCCCCGACAAGGCCGCCGTCACTTACCTGACCGGTCACACTGGCATAGGGTCGTCGGGCAGGGCAGAGACAGGGCTGTCCGCGGAAAGCACAGGGCCACGAGCTGTGGGGAGTGGAGGGTCAGTCCTGGCCGAGTCCCTATGCCCGCTGCCCCCATCCCTCCTGACGTACACACACCCTTCGACTCCCAACCTCAGCAGCTGCCGCCCCACGCTCGGGGCTCTCCTCGCCGCCTGCATCTCTGAACCACTCCAGCCGCGCTGCCTTGGGCGCTGACCTCGCACTCTGGTTTGGTCGGTCTAAGTGTAGGTCTCCCAACGCCTGACTCATCCTCCACAATGCACTGGGAGGCGGGCGGAGCTTCCTGCCGCTGGGGCATGCTGGGAGCTGTAGTTTCCGAGCGGCCCCTCCCCCCTCGCCCCAGCTCTGCATTCTGGTTGACCTAGGGTGATCACCAAACGTCCATTGTCTCCCCCAAACTCCTTCATCCCGCCAGTCCAAACTAGAGAGTATCCCTCAGAAGGGGTGATGGGATGGGCCGGGACTGAAGAGGGAGGAGCTAAGGCAACTGCCGCCAGAGGGATGGAGGGGGGACTGAAAAGAGGACTTCCCAGGTGGAGTTAGAAAGGGTAGATGGGGCCCAGCAGGTGTGGCTCAGTGGATTGAGCATCGACCCATGCCCAAGAGGTCACCGGTTCGATTCCTAGTCAGGGCACATGACCAGGTTGAGGCATGTAGAAGGCGGCCAATCTCTCTGCTCTCATCGATGTTTCTCTCTTTCCCTCTCACGTCCTCTCTAAAATCGATGAAGAAAAAAAACATTTATTTTTAAAGAAAGGGGAGGTGGGAAGAGAGAAGGGTAAGATAGATGCCAGAGGCAGGAGCCATGGAACAATGACTCTTTGGTGTCCCTGGTGAATTTTACAAAAGGGAGGGAAATGGTGGGGTGGGGAACTCAAGCTGGGGTGTGAGTGTCCCAAGCATATTCTCCTAATACCTAGGAAGTGTTACTAACTTGGAAAACACCAAAATTTTCACAGTAAGAAGGACCTCCTCTTCTCTCCTGGAGTTAACTGCCTCCCCTTTAGGCCTCTGAGACCTTCCTCAACATCAACCTCTCTCTGCCTGTCTTCTGTTTCTTCCTGAGACATGTGCTCAGACTAGACCTCTGGACAGATGGAGCTTTCCCAGGCCTGAGATGAACTGTAGCAATTCTCATGTCTCTTCCCTCTCCCACACTTCTCTAGCCCTGGGTCAAGAAGTTCCAAGCAGCCCTGGGCAGTGTGGCTGTTGTGTGGAGCATCATTCTGTGCACCAAAGCTGTGGCAGGTTTGCTTCTTGGTTGGGGTGGGGTGTGAGAGGAGGCCCATTGATATTTTTCTCTCTCCCTTCCTCTCTAAAAATTAAATTGAAAAAAGTCCCAGGTAATTTATGCCCCTCTTTCTGCCATTCACAATGGGGACAGGCCCAAGAGGAGAGAGAGAGCTGTGCTCAGCTTCCTTTATTTTTGAGCTATCAGAGCCTCTTTGGGAGTAACCCTCTTCCTAAGTTCCTTAGGAAACTAGCTAAATTGTGCTTGGCTTTGGGGAGAAGGGGCCAGGGTGTGTAGAGCAAGGTGATGGTGGTGGTACCTGGAGACCTGGAGAAGAATGGGATATCTGGTTGCTTTGGAGTGTGCCCGCTTTACCTAACAGCTAGAATTGGGTAGGGAGAAGACAGCTCAGCTCCAATCCTGGAGGATTAGGGAGATTAAAGTGAGAGAAGAGAGAGATATCTGAGAGACCAAGAGGTGAAAAACAGGAGTCCTTGTGGAGGAGAAGCCTGGGGGTGGAATGAGGGGCTGAAACTCTGGGGATCCTTCTCCCTGAACCTTTCTACAGAGTCTAGGATGAAAGGGCAAAGGCTGGGAAGACCAGGTAAGTGAGTGTGTTGGTCTCTCAGTCTCTTTTAAAAAAAAATTTTTTTTCTCTATTGATTTTAGAGAGAGAGGAAGGGAGAGGGAGAGAGAGAGAGAAACATCAATGAGAGAAAACATCAATTGGCCGCCTCCTGCATGCCCCCCACTGGGGTTTGGCCCACAACCTGGGCATGTGCCCTGACCAGGAGTCTAACCCGTGACTTGGTGCATGGGTCAATGCTCAACCAGTGAGCCACACCAGCCAGGCTCTCTGTTTGCCTCTTGTCCCAATCCACCCTCACTTGGATTTCAATAGTTCCCAGGTCAGCCCTCTGGCTCCTGGCACCCCCACTATTGCAATGGGCACCTCCTCTCCTCACGGTACTACACAGTGACCTTTTCCAGGCCTTGTTGGGTGAGTAGTCTCCCAATTTCCTGATGAACAATGGTGGAAAGGGCTGGCCTGAGCCTGTGAGGGCAATTCCTGAACCTGGGGGCTGGTTGGGAGCCTGGAGATCATGTGGTCCAAGCAGGAGCCTCATACAGGGGTTATCCCCACAGTGCACCTCCATAGTGTCCACCAGCTTTGGCTGGAGGAGCTCCTCACTTACCAGACAGCAGGAGGCAAGGTGATGGCTGGGGTGGCCAGGGAGGCACAGGGTGGGGGAGAGTAACTCAGTGCTGTTCCTGTGACAGACATCCTGGACTATTATGAGGCTTCCATCTCAGAGAATCAGGTAGGTAAGGGGGTGGAGAATGGGGATCTAACTTCCTGAGGGACAGAGCAAAGCTGGAGGGCTGAACAAAGTACTGCTGATACTGAACTGAGACGTGGGAACCCTGGGGACAAAATCCGGAGTCAGGGGCACAGAGAATGCTCTCTTCTGCCCTTAAGCCCCTTTTCCCTCTTGCTTCCCCCTTTTCTTTGCCTGCCCCAATTTCAGACACTAAAGAGTTTAAGATATAGTTATTTTTCAGGCTTCCTCTTGTGAATCCTGAGGCAGAATTAGGCCCCTGGGATTCCCTTCTGCCAGCCCCTCCCTCAGTCCTACCCCTGCTATAGCCTCTACAGTATTTAAACAACCATGGGTGCTCCCAGCCCAACTATGGTGCTTCCTCCTCTAAGAAATTAAATCTATCCTTATTGTGTCTACTGTCATCTCTGGTGACTGGCCAGGTCTCCATGTTTGCTTCCGGGCCTCTCTGCTTCTGCTTCCATCTCCTTTCCCATTATCCGGGTTCCTGCCAGGACTGAAGGAGTTAACTCTGCCAAGGCACCCCCCCTTTCTGGCTCCTCGCTCTCTCCCTCCCCCTGCTTCCTCTCTCCTCCTCTCTCCCCTTCCCTCCTCTGGCTCCACGGCTCCCTCGGCCGCTGCCGCCTCCGGCCCCCCCACCCCACTCCTCCCACCAAGGCCCCTAGCCCCTGGCCAGTAGACAAGACACCCCCCCACCCCGGGGCTCCCCGAAATCCAGTTCCCCTCCCCCACCTCAGCTCATGCCCCAGCCCCCGAACTCCGGGGCTGCTAGCCCCCGGTGCCCCCGCCCCTCCTGAGAACTGGGGTGTGCTCCCCAGGCCCCCCCTCCATTGGGGACTCCCTTGTAGGGCCCCCTTTCCCTTCCTCCCACGCTCCTCTACCCTTCCCTTCTCCAACCCCCTCTTTCCCCTCTCACCCCTCCCCCCATCCTGGCCACCCCTGCAAAAGTGGGGTGCGGAGGGGGGAGGGGTGAGAACCCACGGAGGGGAGGAACGAAACTCCGATGAAGTCAGAGCCCCTTACCCGCTGCCGCGGCCAGGCCCCCCAACATGGACTGTCTCTGTATAGTGACAACCAAGGTAAGCATAACGGGGGGGTTCTAAACTGGGGGGTGGGTGTGAGTTTGTGTGGAGGGATTAGGCAGGCCTAATCTGGGGCTGGGGGCCCTGGAGTGAGAGCCTCAGATGTATTTGGGGTCCTAATTTAGTTTTGGGGTTCACATTTGAGAAAATGCTGGGTTTGGCCACAGGTGCCCCCTGGAGTCATCCCTTTGTACTTGTAGAGAAATAGAAAATTTGGGGTACTCTGGTTTGGGGGGTCTGGTAGGTTTTGGGGTTCACCAATCATGTTTGAGAGAGACTTATTTAAAGAGAAGCCTGGCTCACATGGGAGTCCTGCTCCTGTATGGTAGAAGGTGGACTATGTGGGGGGTTCTCTTTCCTTTTGGGGGACAACTGGCCTCCAGGTGCCTTGTCCAATTTAAGGGGGCTTCTGGCATGAGGTTCTGTAGAAGGTTATTGGTTGTGAGTGCCTGACTGCTCTGGGGGTGTCAGCCGGTGGGAAGGGGTGGGCCTTCAGGGTATAGAACCAGTGTCTTTTGGTAGATACATTTGGGGGTGATCTCTCAATTAGAGGGAACTGTTAATTTAGGGTTTGATCATGATCATATGGGATGGGGAGAGTTGGGAGTTGTCCGAGGGCTGGGGCCTGACATAGGATCACCTGAGGAAATGGACCAGGTAAGGTTAAGATCTGGGGTACTCCCATGAGAGGCAGGTTACAGCAGCTGAGGTTGCCAGTTCCTGAGGAGGAGAATGAGAGAGATTTTGGAAGAGAGGGGATTTGAGGAGGGGGACCAGGTGGGTGGTACAAAATTTGGGGGTGGCCCAGGCAGGTTCCCAATATCCCTCTCTCCTCTCACACTATACCTTCTCCTAGTTGAGAAAAAGGGAGAAGAGTAGATGGAGGGGAATGTTCCTGTTACCCCCTGACACTTTGGATCAAGGTGGGGGAGAATACCTGGATTTAAGGTGACTGGGGTGAAAAGGAGTAGGAGGAGGGCAGGGCTGGCAGCAGTGAGGATCTGTACCAGGATGTCCCTGTGGTTGGAGTCTGAAAAGGGCAGAAGATCTTAGATGGGGAGCACAAGCAAGCTCCTGGTGGATACAGAATACCTAGGTCTTCGCTGTGAGACTTTGGGATTGGAAAGCAGGATGCCTGGTGTGTAGAGGGAGGCATGGGCTGGTGGCAGGCAGCTGGGGGTTGGGGGGTGGGACAGGAAGTGGGGGCTGGGGAGGCGGGGTCTGGTGAGTCACGGGCTGAGGAGGGGGTTATATTTAGTGGGAACTGCTGCTTTTCAGGGGAGGGAGCTGAGGACACACATGTTCCCTGTCACAAACTCACACATGTGTGTACACATGCATCGTGGGTGTGTGTGCATGGATGGAAGAGATTGGGGCTGAATACCTTTATGTCTGGAGCCCCCACCCCCTCTTCAGGGCTACTTGCTTGTTCCTCTTTTTCTGAGCTTCTCCCACGCTACTTCTGCCCCCCCCCCCCCCCGTAGTTTCAGTAGATTTTTGGGGCCTCAGTTTCTCTGGCCTGCTCTCCTTTAATGTTCTCTAGTCCTTTGGTCCTCAGCTTCTCCTGTCTCCTGTTCTTAGCCTGCCTCTTAGTCTTAGGCTCCCTGACTGTGATCCTATGTACAGGTGTACACAGAAAGCCATGGAATGTGTGGGCTCTGCTTCCAACACATGAACATATATATGAGCGAGGGTGAGGGGCTTGCTAGCACTGGCAGCTATTCTGGGAGTGGAGAGCTTATCCATCTCCGTTCCAGACTCCTACTTCTTTCATGGAGCCCAGGGTTGAAAATACCTGAAGAAAGGAGCCTTGAGCAGAGAGGATCATGCATTTGGGGTTTGGGGTTTTACAGAGGCGTGGAGACTCAGGCTTGCCACATTCCTTGGCCAGAAAACTTGTCAGTTGCGGGATGGCGAGGACTCCAACTCCCATAAGGCCTTGAAGCACAAGATTCCCTCAGTGTTAGAGGACTGCTGTCATGGGGCTGTTGGGAGTTGTGGTTCATCTCTATCCAGGGCAGCAGAGGGTATCCCTGAAGGAGCCAGTAGGGGGCACATGGCTCTTGTCCCCCCAAAATGCTGCGTGGGGTAGGGGGTGCTCAGGTAGTTGTGCTTCCCAGCACCATCCGAGAGTACTCCATCTTCCATTGCCTATATTTAGACACCTGCTGCAGTGATTTAAGGAACGTTTATTGAATGTCTACCATGTGCCAGGCCCTGTGCTTTGTGTTAACTCTGCATTTATTTTTCTTTATTGTTGAAAGTATTACAGTACCCCCTAACTCTGCTTTTATAGTTATCACTTATTCTTACTCTGTGCCTCTCTCTGCAGGAGTCTCGGTCTCTGAGCATCTCTTTCTCCCACTCCACCCCCGTCCCTCCCCCTTATCCCCGCACTGCTGCCGCCGTTGCCATGGTAACCGGCGACGACTGAAGTTGCGTGGCGGACTTGAGGGCTGGGCGAAGGTGGCGGAGGGCGGAGCAGAACAAGTGAGGGAGGTGGGTGGTGAGGAAAGACCAGGGGTATTTGACCACTCGGAGGCGAAGCGGTTAATCCCTCCGGGTGGTCCTTATTGGGCAAAGCTAAAACGACGGGGGCGGGGCAGTTTGGCCAACGGCCTCATTCATTGGCAGACAGGGGCGTGGCGAAGGGACAGTATGGGCGAGGCCGGGGTAGCAAATGGGCGGGGAGTGGACGAAGGCGTGGTCTTCTGGAGGCAGGTGGGCGAGGTCTGGCTTACTCTATGTTGGCGGGCAAAAGTCCTCGGAAAGGGGCGGGGCCTTAGGGCTGGGTAACCTGACTGAAGTGAGGGCGGAGTTGACCTGGCAGGGGTGTGGCGTGGTCCCATGTGCCAAAATGAGACAGGGTTTGAGGAATTTGTCCAAGTAACTGTGGGGCGTGGGGGTCTTTGGAAAGGAGAATCCGGGGGTTGGGCCATCTGACGTCTCAATTTTCCTAAGATGGAGGCCTGTTCAGATTTCATCAGAGCACAACCTCCTACCTCAGCTCTGTTCCAAAGAGACGGTTACTAGGCGACAGCAAAGTCCTTGATAGCTGCGTTGCTAGGCAACCGGGAAACGGAAAATGGAGGGAAAAAGGAAATGGGGGTGGGGGAGGGTCTTAATGGGTCATAGCGCCCACTGGTGGAGAACTGTGATTTTTTTTATTTTAGAAGAAATTTCGAGTCCAGCTCCTTCCGCACTGGTTTCCTTTGAGGATCCAAGCATTCTATCCACATATGAAACTAGGGCATTGGGGGTCATCTTGGGGGCGCATCTAATAGGCTCCGGTCAACAGGAAAGAGGGGGCATAAGCGAGATTCTAGGGAAGTTTGTCCTTTGTGCCATGTGTGAGCAATTTAGAGGAGTCAGAGGAGCAGATTTGAGGAGACTGCTCACTGGGCTTTGAGTTAGAAAGGTGGGTGTTCAATGGCAGAATATTTGGAAAGAGATGCTTTCAGGTCCAGTTGTTTGGTAGAAAATGGAAGCCTCTGAAGAGACTTGAGGCCGTCGGTTTGGGGTGTTCTGGAAGATTAGTGGGTCAGTGCAAATTGGACCATATGTGCAAATTGGACCATATCTTACTTTGGTGAATATTTTTTGAGGCTGGGTGTAGGACAGATTGATGTATTTAGAAGCAATCTTCCATCGCAGTTGGACTTCGGAATCACAAAGGGGATGCTGAGATGTAGGAAGGGCATTCAGAAAAGGGAATAATGTATTAAAAGGAGGGGTAAAGAAAAGGAATAGCGCCCAGCCAGTGTGGCTCAGTGGATTGAGCGTCAGTCCCCATGGACTGAAAGGTCCTGGTTCGGTTCCTGGTCTGGGTACATGCCCAGGTTTCGGGCTCGATCCCCACAGGGAGGGAGGGGTGTGTGGTGGCGTGCAGCAGGCAGCCGATTGATGTTTCTCTCTCCCATCGATGTTCTTGTCTCTCTTTCCCTTCTTCTCTCTCTAAAAAAATCAATAAAAACATATTTTTAAAAAGAAAAAGAATAGGAAAATATCTCTTAATTTAAGAGCTTGGGAATGAATTGAAGAGGTTGCAATTTAACTTGAAGGGTACATTAAGTATTCTCTAAAGTTGGGGTCTGGTGGTATTGGGGATTGGTATATTAGAAAATCATAAGTATTTTATTAGATTTGGGGATTTGGATAGGGAACCAGAAAGGAATTTGAGAACTGCTTATTTGGATGTTTACATTAGAGCAAGGGTAATATTTGCACTAATTTCAAGGTTTCTGTTGGTGGATGGAGGGATAGATATGATTTTGAAAGGGATGATCTAAGGGAAAGATTAATTTGAGGGCACGACAAGGATCTGTGGTTCTTAAACTCCTGAAAAGCATTGTTTGGCTACCAGGTGGGGCTGGACTGCGGGTTAGAATAGGAGATGTCTTTGTATCTGATGGGATGCTGTCCACTTTAACAATCTTTGGGGGTGTGGGGGGAGGGGCTTGTGGGAGACAGTTTAGATTCCTTAGGGGTCCTAATGTGAGAGAAGTGCTGCTTCCTTCCCTGCACCCTTAGAGTCCAGTAATGATGAGCAGTCCGGTGAGGTTTTGGAATAGTTAGGAGTCTGGTGATTTTAGGGGTGGGAGATTAGGTAGAATAAAGGGTCCCTGAGAACCAGAACGGTAAATAGATAAATTTTTGAAGCGTCTCTACTTGTAGAGGGGTTGGAATAGGAGTAGACTGTGGAAGTTCGACCACAAGAAACAGCTAGAACCAGGAAAGTTAATAGCCAAGAGGGTCTCCCCTCACCCTCTCTCTCCCATCGTGACGCTCTTCCGCACTGCGCAGGCGCTGTCCCCCACCCTCCCCATTTCGGGCCGCAGCCTCCAGTTGCCGCGGCCGCCGCAGCCCCCGCCCCTCTGCCCCTCCCCCTCCCCAACCCTGGGACCCTTGCTCTCCCACCCATCCCCTCCCCTCTGTCCCCCTCCCCTTCTTCATGTCGGCTCGGAACAGAATCGCCTCCATGTGTCTCTGCGTGGTACGTGCCGCGATACGGGCTCCGGCCCGCTCCCCTCTTCCCGGACCCTCCAAATCAGGGTGCAAGCTTCAAGCGCTGTCGCTGTTCCTTCTGCTTGGCGCGGGGTCTCTGGGTTGCAATGTTTCGCGGACAAGAGCAGTGGGTTATCCTTCTTGTCATCATACACTTTCACTCACACCCCTCTATTTTGGGGGTGCAAGCCTCGGTTCCAGGTTATTTTGTGCAGCTGGGGCTACAGTGAGGAGGGGGCCAAGGGAGGAGGAACAACAGTGATCCTCAAAGCCTTTTACTTGTTTTATGTTCTAATATATTGGGGGATTTAGACTTGGTCCCAATAGCATTCAAGCTGTCGCGGGTCTGGGCCCTGAGTCCTAGTAGGGTAAAAGAGGGGATCCTCCTTTTCTGCCTGTCCTGCTCTAGTTGTCCTAATCTAGGACTGAGAGGTGTTGGCCCCAACCCCCACCACCTAGTTTGCAGTTTCAGAATTACTCTCCCCTACCCCCACCCCTCCAGTCCTGCCCCCCCCCCCCCCTTCCCCTTACTACAAGTACTTAGAAAATTTCCAAGGGCTGAACATATGCCCTAACCTCCTTCAGCCACATTCTGGGAACTTCAGATCCTTACCTTGTTCCTATTTCTGTCTCGTTGTCTCCCAATTTGGAGGAACTTTTCCCCCAGTCCTGGACCTCTTCTCCCCCCATGGGGGCAGGGCAGAGAGAGGTGACTGCAGTCTCACTATAATAAAAAATTCACCATTTCCTCTCTAGAATAAATGATGAAATGTCCCTTTCCATGCTTCCATTTTCTTTATGTGCACCTGGCATTTCATCATCAGATTCAGGAATTTTCTCTGAGATGGGGTGAAGATAGAGGGGCATTGGACTCAGACCCTCTCCCAGACTCCAAAACTTGAAGCTGCAACCGTTGGCCCTGCCTTATTTATCAGGGAGTTGGGGCCTTGTGAAGTGAGAGAGGAGAGCTGCCTGACCCTCCAGTTCTGGAACACTGTCCCTTAGCTGTCCAGGCTGAAGATCACCTTTTCAGGATGTGGAATGAACAAGCTCTTTCAATTCACTGAATTCTGTTATTCAAGATGGCTCAGTCTTTGAGGAGGGCTATTTAGCTTATACTCCCCCCTCCTTTTCCTTCTCTGGTTTTTGTGCCTGTGGTATTGAAACCTGGAGCTTAGGATACTACTTTCTTCACATCTGTGGGTCAGAAAACAGAGTATATCTTCATGAGCCCCTATTTTCCTTCTTTAAGGCTTCAAATGTATCAAGGTACTTCTCTGTGTCCTGGGTTTGAGAGTCTTCATGTTGTCAGCACCATTTCCCTCCCATTCTATAGCCAAAGTTGAGTTACATCCTCAACCCTCATCACCCTCAGAAATTTCAAAATTAGACTCTAGTATCAGACATTGACTTTGATAAGCTTCCTTCAGTTGGATCTTGCAACTGTTGCCCTCCAGATTTTGGGGTATACTCAGCTTCTCAGATACTTTTTTGAGATGGAAATTCTTTTTTTGTCCATGTGTATTGGGGACTGCATTCTGTCTTCCTCAGTCCCTGAGGGAGCCCTACATTAATTATCCTTCTCCTTTCCTGAGCCTGGAGTTTGGGAGGATCTGCTTCTGTGGGGGCCAACTCCTGAGGAAGGGAAGCATCATGAGGTCAGAGGCAGATGTGAGAGGACCCAGGCAGGGTTGCTGCCCTTCACTGCTGTCTCCAGCTGCCCTTTTCCTCTGTCTCTGGCCCTTAGTTAATCTCATTTACTGGTGTCCCTATTAAAAGCTAACACAGGAGATCCTTGAGATGGCAGGTGGCTAATTGGGAAGGGAGTTAGGAGTAATATTGGGTCTTTCACTCCTTAAGGCCAGATGGAGACCACAATTTCACCCTGAGGCTCAGCACTCCACCCTTTTCCTGTCAGGGAACCTGGAACCTGACACCCATTCTTGCCCCCTTCCTGAACCCTACTGCCTCTGTCCTCTCCCTTTCTCTCCCATCCTTTCTAGTACATCCGATTAGCTAGCTGAGCTGTGGGCATTTGTTGGGGTGGGGCTGGACTCTTGGGGCCCCTCTGCTGACTTCTTGGCAATCAGTGGGACCTTTGGAGAAAGCTGATCAGGTGTAGCTTTGTCCTGCTTGGAGGGCTGATGCCAAGTACCTGCTAGTTGAAGGGCCTGACTGAGGACCCTGCCTCGGGCATGGAAGGTGCCGGAGAGCCAGTCTTATGAGGTAGAGGCTGCAGTGGGGAGACTGAGGCAATGAAGGTGGGGGTGGGGTGGTAGGATGGAATGAGGAGCAGGATCTACATATGCAACATGGGGAGTGGGATTAAGGCAATGAGGGAAGTGGGATGGAAATGATGAGAGAAGCAAAGAATTTGGGGATGGATGTAGAGAGTGTGGGTACCACTGTCAGAGGAGCTGGAGCTCTGAAAGGATGGAGGGACTTACTATGAACGCCTGGGAAAGGGGTGAAGAAACAGGCCAGAGGAGGGTGTGTGTTGGGTAGAAGGCTGGGGGTTCCTAGCATGGGAGGAGGAGGAGTTGGGGGATGGAGCTGGGATTTGGAAAGAGACGAGAGGTGCCAAGGCCTCGGGCAGGAGAGGGGCTGTGGGGAGGGTGGAGAGAGGGGAACCAATGGGCTGGAGGGGAGGGAGGAGGAGGAGCTGGTCAGGCCCCAGGGCCTTCCGCACTGCACTGGCTTGGGTAAGAGGCGGCGGCGGCGGCGGCGGCGGGGGGGCGGGGGCTGGCTGCCTGGAGCCCTGAGGCACTGGGTCGGCCCCAGTGACACTTCCGTCCCTGTCCCCAGAAATACCGCTACCAAGATGAAGACACGCCCCCTCTGGAGCACAGCCCGGCCCACCTCCCCAACCAGGTAAACGCCCCCGAGTTGGTGCACGTGGCGGAGAGGAGCTTGTCCCACCTCGAGGCTGTCCACGGGGTCGTGGGCCACGCCCATCTCTCCCCCCTCAAGGTAGGAGACTCAGGCAGCAGCCCCTCCCCAGTGCGGCCCGCGGAGCCTCGGAGCTACAGCCACCCCCCAAGGGCCGGTAGGGCTATAGCTGAGCTGTAGGTGGGGGAAGGCTGGGACTGGGGACTGGGGCTTGGGCTTCTGGAGCCTAGGGAAGAAGGCGTTTGGGGGGCTGGAAACACCTTGTTCCTACAGAGGAGAAACAGAGGCCAGGCAAGTGGGAGTGGGTGTGGAGCTTAAAGCCAGGATGTGTATGTGCGTGTGCGTGTGCGTGTGCGTGTGCGTGTGTATCTATCTGCCTGCGTGCATGTGTGTTGAGGTGTGCAGGATGCTCACCAAGCCCAGGCCTTCTTCATTCCTTCACATTATCTACCTCTGTCAACGTTTTCTCTTTCCAGACCTCTATTCAGAGCTCCTGCTGCCCTCATTTGCTCTTTTTCCTTCCCTGCCTCCTTCCCCCACTTCCTGCTCCTGGGCTTGGCTCTCCCTGTCCCCCTAGTCTCCAGTCCTTTCCATCTATCTGGCCTGAGACTTCTGTCCCTGGTCCCAGCCTTTGCTCTGCTCCTGTGCTTCCTCCCCTCCTTGCTGCCCTTCCCTCCCTGCTGTCTGGTTCTTGATGCTGTCTCTCTCTTCCTCCCACGCACTCTCCTCCCTCTCCCTCATCCCCAGCTCAGGCCCTCTGTGGCCTGCTCAGTTCTCTTCATAGGTCAGCCAGCCCCTTTGCCCCCCTCCCCCTCACTTACCCCCTTCACTGTTCATCACTTCTCTCCTGTCCACCCATGCCTACCCTCTCATCCTCTAGGGCTCTCACCTCTGCCCAGATATTTTCTCTGTACCCTGTCTGTTCTCCATTATTATTTATGACCACCTGTTTCCCCTTCTATGTGCTCACCTCTGATTTTCCTTCTCCAGTCCTGGGGTGGCCTTGTTTCTTAGATTTTTCATTCTCCAGGCCACTTTCCATCTTCTTCCCCCTCAATCTCCTCTTTCAGGAGCACAGGATGGGGAGGAATGGAGAGCACCAGGCAAGCTGGGAGATTGAGGGTAACATTGTGGGGTCAGGGCTGGGTTTCAGGATTTTGTGGGATGCCCTTGGAAGGGGAAGGTTGCTGATAGCCCACTAAGAAGATGGGGATGAGGTTTCTGAGCTAGGGATGAGAAGCAGGGAGGGGCAGCAGCAGGTTCTGGGGTTAGAAGGAGGTGGCTGGTAGGAGAGGAGTTGGAGAAAAACCATTTTCTGGCTTGCAGCAAAATAGAGAGACAACAGAAGGGTAAGAGGTCCCAGGGCAGGGGACAGACTGGGATGAGACTGAAATCAGGGCAGCAGGGGGAGCTGATTGTAAGGAAGGAAAGACCCTGGTGATGGGGAAGTGGTATGGAATATTCCAGAGAAACTCTGGGGGCTGCGAAGAGTGAAGGAAAGAAGACTAGAGGTGCTTTTTTTGAGACTGGACCATTAAATCCCTGGGAGGGGGAAGATGAGAGAAGGGAGGCTTGAGAGGTGGCAGTTGGTATAGTAATAGCGAGTGCTGCAGTCAGAACTCAGGGAGCACAGGGAAGAGGAAGGAGAGAGTGCTAGAGGCCTAAGTGTGTGTGGGAGGTCTTAGGACCAGGCTTGAGCTGGCAGACAGAAGGAACCCCAATTTTCAGAGGAGATGGGGAGTAGATTGAGAATGAAGGGCTGTGATTTGGGGATAGAATCTTTAGGGTTTGAGGATGAGGTAAGGGGGAGTGTGCTGATCTTTCTGGGCAATCAGAAATTAGGATGGAGGAGAAGGACAGGAGACTAATAAGGGATGGGGCTGGAGGGTGGGATAGGGATAGGGAAGTGGATGGAGAATGGAGGAGGCTGGTGTTGGAAGATTGAAATTGAAGGGTGGGACAGGGATGTAGATGGAGGATGTGGGATGGGATAGAAAGGGAGGAAAGATAGGACCTCAGAAAAGGGGTTTTTGGATGGGGATGGGATTTGAGGACAGGCTACGGGATGGAGGATGGACACGTGGATGAGATTTTGGTGTCAGTGGCTATTGGTTGGATAACAGCATTTGCTGAGATGTGAAGGGTCAGAGAATGGTGTTAATAGATTTATGAGTATGACATTTATAATAGAGCTTGAAAATGGTAATGTGTAGTATTGGGAAACAGCAGTAGGAGAGAGAAGAGACCCTTTTGGAGGGGGAGAAAGGAGCCTGGGGAATTCGTGAAGACTGCCTCGTGTTTGGTAGGCTCCAAATAAATATTTGTTTAAGGAGGCGATAGGTTGGGGATCCCGGAAGAAGGCTCTGGGCAGCCTCACCCCATTGCCATGGAGACGTGACTTCTGTTGCCTTGGCAATTGGGGAAGCCCCTAGGACTGGCCTAAACAGTGGCTCCACCTGGGAGTCCAAAGACCCTGTATTTCGAGGCCACTGATGTCAGGGACCGTGGCACGCCCCACTTTAACTCTTTCTTTAATGAAGTGGGTTGTGGGGGAGGAATAGAAGAGAGGATAGGACCCGCATGTCTTTCACCGCTTTCCCTCCTGATGTCCTTTGCACTGCGTAGGGTGAGGGGCGTAGAGGAGGAAGGAAGGGAGGTTGTTCAGAATGGGCTGCTTCTACAAACCTCTGCAGCCTGGAAGTCTCTGGGCCTGGCTGGGGGGAGGGGGGGGGCAGACAGGAGAGGCGGGGCTAGCTGATTAGCTTAGCTGATCCCTTCTGCGTTGGAGAGTCTGGTCGTCTCTAGGCCACAGGCTCCACCTCCCTCCTGTTGTCCTGACGACAGGGCCTCCTGGCGGTGGGTCTCCTCTGGCCTTGGCTGGGCTTGGATACTCTTACTAGGCAACAGGGTCCCTAGAGGAAGGGGTGGATTAGATGGCTGGTGGGCAACAGGGTGGGAGTGGCCTCCATCTGGGGGAACCTTGAGTTCCCTTGGCCAAGGATTTAGGGTAAATGTATGTAAAGGTGAGAGGCAAATCTGAGGGAGGGTGATGAAGGTATCAGGGTGTATGTGGGCAGATAGGGACAAGGATGGGGGCAAGAAATGGGGAGCAGGACCCGGTGGACATAAGCCCTGGGGTTTATGTGTGTAGCACAAAGGCATGTAACACCCTGTGGTGTTACATCCGGTGAGAGGCTCCCCCCAGCAGTTCCCCCTGCCCCCACTCTTTACCATCTGCTGCTCCCCCGTCTGGCTGTCTCTCCCTTCTGGCTTCTCAAACATTTCCTTCTCCATGCAGGGGGCCTGGGCTCGGCAGAGTTAAGTCCATGCACGTGTGCATGTGTGTGTATGTATTATGGATTGAGGCTGGATCCTTGGTTAAGAGGCTGAAAGGGTAGCCAGTTTGGTGGGACTCTTAATTATGGACTCCCTCTTGAGCCAAGGCTCAGGCAGCTTTTCATCTCATTTTCTCCCCTCACAGGCCAATTCTCCCCCTGTGATTGTCAACACAGACACCCTAGAAGCCCCGGGATATGTGAGTTGTTTAGATTTTGGGGCCATTGCAGAAGGAAGGAGGGAGAGAGGGATAGCCTGGGTTCCAGTAGTAGGGGAGGGGCAGGTTCTCAGGTAGGAATGTCTGTCTCACTGTTTCTGTGTTTCTGGTCCGTGCTGGAGTTGCAGGTGAACGGGACCGAGGGGGAAATGGAATACGAGGAGATCACATTGGAAAGGGTGAGCAGGCTCCTCTGAGGCCCCCTTGCTCCTTGTGTGTGCTTCTCTCTGTGCCCATTTTAACCTTGCCCCTTCCTGCTCCCCAATCCATTTTTCTCCCCACTGGCTTTGCCAAGAGTGGGCAGTGAGGGGAGTTGACCTTCTTCCCCTCCTTCTGCCCAGGGTAACTCAGGTCTGGGCTTCAGCATCGCAGGTGGCACCGACAACCCACACATCGGTGACGACCCATCCATTTTCATCACCAAGATCATTCCTGGTGGGGCTGCGGCCCAGGATGGCCGCCTCAGGTGGGGAGAGGAGACAGGGGTTAGGATGCTGGTTCCCTCAAAAGGGAGGACCAGGGCGGCAGGAAGCTCCTGGCTCAGGCCCACCTTGCTGCCCTCAGGGTCAACGATAGCATCTTATTTGTAAATGAAGTGGATGTTCGGGAGGTGACTCACTCAGCTGCTGTGGAGGCCCTCAAGGAGGCAGGCTCCATAGTTCGCCTCTACGTCATGCGCCGGAAGCCCCCTGCTGAGAAACTCATGGAGATCAAACTCATCAAGGGGCCTAAAGGTAGTAACGTGTTATGACCACCCCTGTATCAACTGTACTTTGCCCAAGGCTTGCTTCCCAGGCACCCACCTCTGCCTTTCCCTCCATCTAGGTCTTGGTTTCAGCATCGCAGGAGGTGTAGGAAACCAACATATTCCCGGAGATAATAGCATCTATGTAACCAAAATTATTGAAGGGGGTGCCGCCCATAAGGACGGGAGGTTGCAGATTGGAGATAAGATATTGGCGGTGAGGACCCCTATTACTTTTCTAGTCCACACTTGGGTCTTGCCTATGGTCCTGCGCAGACCCAGGCTCTCTTATCAGCTCACTCCCAGCGCCTTTGTCTTGAGGCTGTTTCTGGCTCTGTCTGAGCTCTGTTTCCTTTGACCCCAGGTCAACAGTGTGGGACTGGAGGACGTCATGCATGAGGATGCTGTGGCAGCCCTGAAGAACACATATGATGTAGTCTACCTAAAGGTGGCCAAGCCCAGCAATGCCTACCTGAGTGACAGCTATGCTCCCCCAGACATCACAACCTGTGAGAGTCCTCCAAACCCAAAGCTCCCCATGACCCATCCCATTCACCACCATGACATTCCTGGTGACTGTTTCTCTTCAAATGCTCCCCATGAAATAGCTACAACCACTGTCACATCCTATGGTTGGAGAATAAATGGAAAATTGGTCACTATGGAAAACTAAAAAATATTGTCAGAAGTCTCTCCCCCAGAAGGCACAAGACCCAGATTGTTTTATGGATAATTTTATGAAATCCTCGTGGAATGGATTATTCTTATGCTCTCTCTGGGTATGGGAAAAGATAAAAAGTTACACATTTCATTTTATAAGGGCAGTTCAAATGGTCACAAAGATAGTGTAAAAGAAATTACAGGCCAATTTTGCTTCTGAATAGAGATGTAAAAGTTTATAATAACAGAGTAGCAAACCAGACATAACATTATATTAAAGGGAATAATATTGTCACAAAGTAGGGTTTGTTTCAGAAAACTAAAGGTGGTTCCATATTAGGAAACCTCTTAATTTGATTCATTGTATTAAAAAGTTAAGGGAGCCCTGGCTGGTTTGGCTCAGCAGTTGGAGCGTTGGCCTGCGAACCAGAGTCCTAGGTTCGGTTCCCGCTAGGGGCATGTACCAAACCAAACCAAATCCCACCCCACCCCATCCCACCCCCACCCCCACCCTCACCCCCAACCCCAACACCAAACCAAACGTCAAACCAAACAAGTTAAGGGAGCCCAGCTGGTGTGCCCCAGTGGTAGAGCATTGACCCATGCACCAAGAGGTCACTGGTTCGATTCCCAGTTGGGGCACATACCCAGGTTGTGGGCCCGATCCCCAGTGGGGGGCATGCAGGAGGCGGCAAATCTATGTTCTCTCATTGATGTTTCTATTTCTTCCTCTCTCTCTAAAATCAATAAAGATAAATTATTTAAAAAAAAAAAGTTAAGGGAGAGCCCAGCTGGTGTGTCTCAGTAGTTGAACATTGACCCATTGACCAAGAGGTTGCCAGTGGTATTCCTGGTCAGGGTATATGCCTAGGTTTTGGGCTCGATCCCCAGTGGGGGATGTGCAGGAGGCAGCCAGTTGATGTTTCTCTCTCATCGATGTTTCCGTCTCTCTCTTCCTCCCCCTTCCTATTTCTAAAAATCAGTAACAACATTAAAAAAAAGTCAAGGAAGAAAAACTGTAAGGTCATTTTAGATAGATGTGGAAAAGGCATTTGATGAAATTCAATATCTATTTTCTGATGAAAACTTACTAACCTAGGAACAGAGGAATTTTCCTTGATGTGGTGAAGTTATCAGAAACTAACAACCAACATTTCCTAATGATAAAATCTTAGCAGTATGTCCATTCAGTTAGTAACTAGGCAAGGGTGTCTCTCATTGCTACTGTTACTCTACATTGCTTCAGAGCAGGATTTCTCAATGTTGGTACTGTTGACATTTTGGACTCGCTAGTTCTTTACTGTGTGTGTGTGGGGGGGGTTGTTTTGTGCATTGTAGGATGTTTAACAGCATTCCTGGCCTCTGTCAGGTGACAATGGTACTCCTCCCCACTGGTCAGAACAACCAAAAATTCTTTAGACACTGCCAAATGTCCCCTGGGAGGCAAACTTACCCTGCTTGAGAATCACTGCTTTAGAGATTTCAGGTAGTGTAGCAAGGCAGAAAGAATAAATAGATGTTATATTTGAGATGTTTTAAAATTTTTATTTAAAAATATCACCTGAGGATATTTTTCCATGGATTTTTTTACTAAAAAAATGTTTTTTCCTTTATTGATATTAGAGAGAGAGAGAGAAACATTGATGAGAGAGAACATCGATGAGAGAGAGAGAGAGAAATATTGATTTGTTGTTCCACTTATTTATGCATTCATTGGTTGGTTTAGAAAAAATTTGTAGAAGAAATGGGCTTAGGAAACAAGTTATAGAGATAAAAGGAAGGACCCTTCATGCTTGGGAGAGGGAGGATGATAATGGTAACTTGCCAGTTGCAAAGGGGCAGGTTGAAGGGTAGAAGAGCAGGCAGAAGGGAAAGGGAAGGGCGAGGGTGCGCTCCCAGTACAGAGAGCATGCTGGGTCCTCAGTCTTAAGGTTTTCTTTTTGTTGTTGTTCTTAATCCTCACCTGAGGATATTTTTCCATGGATTTTTTTACTAAAGAAATGTTTTTTCCTTTATTGATATTAGAGAGAGAGAGAGAGAAACATCGATGAGAGAGAACATTGATTGGCCGCCTCCTGCATGCCCCCCACTGGGGATCAGGCCCACAACCTGGGCATATGCCCTGATGGGGAATTGAACTGGTGACCTCTCGGTGCACGGGTTGATGCTCAACCACAGAGCCACACTGGCTCCACTGATTTTTTAGATAGAGTGGAAGGGAGGGAGGGAGAGAGAGAAGGGGAGAGGGGGAGAGAGAAAGAGAAAGAAAGAAACATCAATGTCATATCAATTGGTTGCTTCCTGAACTACCCTTACCAGGGCCTGGGATTGAACTTGCAACCTAGGTATGTGCCCTTGACCTGGAATCAAATCTGTGACCCTTTGGTCCCCAGGCCAACACTCTAGCTGCTGAGCCAAACCAGCCAGGGCCATTGGTTGATTTATTTATTTTTTTATCCTCACCTGAGGATATTTTTTTCGATGTTTTGTTCAGATAGAGTGGGAGGGAGGGAGAGAGAAAGAACATTGAAGTGAAAGGGACACGTCGAGTGGTTGCCACCCACACGACCCAACCAGGGCCAGGGACAAACTGTAACCAAGGTATGGGCCCTTAGTGGGAACCGAACCCAGGTCTCTCCAGACCACAGGCCAATGCTCCAACCGCTGGGCCAAACAGGCCAGGGCCGGTTGATTCTTTCTTTTTTTTTTTTTTTAATCCTCACCCGAGGATATTTTTCCATTTTTTGTACAGATAAGAGAGAGGAAGGGAGAGAGAGACAGAAACATCGACGTGAAGGGACACATCGAGTGGCTGCCACCCGCATGACCAACCAGGGCCGGGGACAAACTGCAACCGAAGTACATGCCCTTAGTGGGAACTGAACCTGGGTCTCTCCGGACCGCAGGCTGACGCTCTAACCGCTGAGCCAAACTGGCCAGGGCGCTGGTTGATTCTTATATATGCTCTGCCCAAGGATCAAACCCACAACCTTGGCATATCGGGACAATACTCTAACCAACTGAGTTACTCAGCCAGAGCAATAGATGCTATATCTGAGAAGGGGAAAACAAACTTATCCTCATTTGTAAATTACACTATTGTCTGTCTGTGTTAAAATCTAAGTGAATTAACTGAAAAACTTAGAAATAATATGGAAGTTTAAGAATATGGCCATATGTATGACAAATGACAAAGAGTTAGTAACTTCTCAGCAGTAAGAAAATGTAATGGGCAAAAGATTCCTTTCATCATAGAAAAGATTCTATAAAATTCTTAGAAATATGAACTTGACAAGAAGTATGTAAGATTTTTATCCTCACCTGAGGACATTTTTGCATTTATCTTCAGATAGAGCGGGAGGGAGAGGAGGAGGAAGACAGAGAGAAACATCGATATGAGAGAGACACATTGACTGGTTGCCACCCACACAACCCCAACCGGGGCCAGGAACAAACTACAACCGAGGTACGTGTCCTTAGCCTGAACCAAACCTGAGACTCCCTGGTCCGCAGGCCGACGCTCTAATCACTGAGCAAAACCATCCAGGGCAGATTTAAAAAAAATATATGTTTTTATTGATTTTTTAGAGAGAGAGGAAGGGAGAGAGAGATAGAAACATCGATTGGCTGCCTCCTGCACGGCCCCTACTGGGGATCAAGCCCGCAACCCGGGTATGTGCCCTGACCAGGAATTGAACCGCGACCTCTCAGTCCATGAGACAGTGCTCAATCCACTGAGCCATACCGGCCAGACAAAGTGTGTAAGATTTATATGAAGAAAATGAGTGCACTTTACTGAAGGACATAAAAGAAGACTAAAAAATGGAGAGTCACACCATGTTTCCGAATGGAAAAACTTAATATGTTAAAGATCTCAACCCTCTCTAAATTAATTTATACATTTTATGCAATTCTAATCAGAATTTTAATGTTCTACCCCCACTTCCCTGGAAACTCGGCAGGAAAATTCAACTGGAAAGAACATTTGGGAGAATAAGAAATTTTGGAAAAGGATGAGGCATGACTGACCTACCAAATATGAAATCATATTGTATAACTATATTAAAACCACGTGGTAGTATTTCTACATACCATGACCTACCAAAAGGAACTTTGCTTGACTACTTGGAGAAAGGGCTGATTTCAAATCTTGGACAAGAAATGTAGAAGATGAACTCATAAGATTTTCATACTAGAAAGCAAGGGAGGTATCTAAGGCTGCTAGGGTCATGTCAAAGACACAGGAGCCAAATCGAAGGGGCTTCTACCGGCCATGTAACTAAAACTCATTGAATGTGTGAAAATCTGTGTCATAATGGTACTTCAAAACGATTGGGTACCTTTGGAGGATGCTAGGAATCCATTTTTTTAAATGAAAACTGGCAAATAAAGAGAGTCAAGCATTTATTCTCTCTTGTACAAACTGCACCTTAGGGTAATCAAAAGGTTGGTATGAGACAATTCTTTTTATTTTAAAAAAATTTTTATTTATGTATTTATTTGTTTAATGGGTGACAGTATTACAGATGTCCCCCATTTCCTCCCCCCCTTTTCCCCCTCCACCCAACCCCCACCCCACCTTAGGTCTTCCCCACACTATTGTCTGTGTCCATGAGTTATGCATATATGGCCCTTGGGCTGGGATGTTCCCTACCCCTGCTAGGGGAACTGATCCCTGATGTTACCTGGGAATTCCTGCCCCTGACATTGCTATGACCTGATTCCCAACCACCCTAGTATCTCTGGCAGAATAACTTCCCCTTCACCTGAGTCTGGCTCTCCTGGCTCCCTAGGGAGAAGGTGGGGTGGTGGGTACTGTCTCCCTTCATGCATTTCATGTCATCCTTTATTCCGTGTCTTCCCTCAGCTTATTCCCAGCACCTGGACAATGAGATCAGTCACAGCAGCTACCTGGGCACTGACTACCCCACAGCCATGACCCCCACTTCCCCTCGGCGCTACTCCCCCGTAGCCAAGGACCTGCTAGGGGAGGAAGACATTCCCCGAGAACCAAGGCGGATTGTCATTCACCGAGGCTCCACGGGCCTGGGCTTCAACATCGTTGGGGGCGAGGATGGTGAAGGCATCTTCATCTCCTTTATCCTGGCTGGGGGCCCTGCAGACCTCAGTGGGGAGCTGCGGAAGGGGGACCAGATCCTTTCGGTGAGAGAAGGCCAGCCCCTGCCCGCACCACCCTCTCCCCTCATGGCAGGGCTCAGGGATCTTGGGCAGGGGCTTGGGTAGGCTGGAGCCTGGTCCTCATCTCCAGTGACTCAGCCTCTCCTCCTTCCTCTAGGTCAATGGTGTTGACCTCCGCAATGCCAGCCATGAGCAGGCTGCCATTGCCCTGAAGAATGCGGGTCAGACAGTTACGATCATCGCTCAGTATAAGCCAGAAGGTACCAGGCCTGAAGTTCCCCTTCTTGGGGGCCAAGATGATCCTCAGGACTCTGTTTCCTCAGCTCTGGCTTTAGTGGGGACAGAGGGAGGGTGGCATTAGGATTGGGCCAGAGCTCAGGAACCTTCTTGTCCTTCCTCAGAGTACAGCCGATTCGAGGCCAAAATCCATGATCTTCGGGAACAGCTCATGAACAGCAGCCTGGGCTCAGGGACCGCCTCCCTGCGGAGCAATCCCAAAAGGGGTTTCTATATCAGGTTGGATGATTCCTGGACTGGGCTCCTCTTCATTCTGTGACCCCTCCACCCCAGACAACTCTTCCTCTAAACCCTGCCTAGCTTCCACTCCCCATCCAGTCCTGACACTCAGCTGGTGTTCATGGGCTTAGCTGCACAGATTAGCATTTTGAAATATTCTGTGTCAATTGGAAAAGAGTCTCAGCTGCAAGTATCCTTACTGCCTTATAGCCCCTGGTTACCCTGGCACTTTTCTTAGGACCTCCCCCCCTTCCCGCCAGTTACCCAACAATTTGGCAACTCAAAAGTTAATACCTGCCAGAACAGGGGGCCCCTAGGCTATTCAGAACATTGCCCGGGCCTGCACGTCCCTCTGGGATGATGTAGACCAGGAAAGGCAAGCTACAGCTCTCTGTCACTCCTTGTCTCTAGTGGCATTTACTTCCTTCTCAGGGCTCCTTCTCCCATCCTTCTCTCTTGCTTGCCCTCCCCAGGTGTCTTATACTTCTTTTTCTTCTCTCTCTCTGGCCTCCTGGCCACCTGGCCACCTGGCCACGCACTTGGTCTAGTCTGCTGCTCTACTCTGTAGGTTTCTCTCGGAGCTGTCAGCTGTGGCCTGACCTCTTCCCAGAGGTTCAGACCTGTGTTCTGGTCATCTGCTTTCTGGACATGTCCCCTGGGATGTCCCACAGGCATCTCACATTCAACATGTCCCAAACTGAGTGCATCTCTCTCTCCTGTGCACTTGTGCTCTCTGTCCTGCCGAATCAGTGTTTTGTCTCTCGTTGAATGGCACCACCATTCACCCAGACACCCAACTCAAACAGAGCCTTGCTCAGCCCTTCCCTCCTTGCTGGGGTCCAGTTGGCTCCCAGGGTTGGTCAGTTCTAACTCACAGACAATGCCAGATGACACTGGCGTCTCCTCTTTTCCTGTCCCGCTGTCTTGCCCTTCATCTTTGCTCTCTCAGTGGTCATTTCTCCCTTGTCCTGACCCCAGGGGTTGGGGCTTATTGACAGGAATTTGATGCTGTTAGGGTAACCAGAGTTTGCAAAGAGTGTTTTTTGTTGTTGTTGTTAATCCTCACCCGAGGATATTTTTCCATTTATTTTTTAGATAGAGGGGAAGGAAGGGAGGGGCAGAGAGAGAGAGAGAAACATCCATGTGAGAGAGAGACATTGATTAATTGCCTCCTGCACGACCTCGAGCATAACCTCGACCCAGGTACGTGCCCTTGTCCCGAATCAAACCCAAGACCTTTCAGTCCGAGGGCCCACGCTCGAAACGCTGAGCCAAACCGGCCAGGGCAACAAAGAGTGTTCTTTTTCCGATGAATGTGAGCAGATTGCAGGTTACCTCTGTGACTGTGACATGCATGTTACTGCAGACTGCTTTCCCGAGAGGGTGGTGTTCTAGGTCTTACTCTAGAAATTGCACTGAATGTATGGCTCGCCTGATTGCTGACACAGCACTGACTGAATGACAGTTAATAGTTGTGGCAGTTTTAACAGTAGAGCTTTTGGTTCCCACACAGTTGTTGGGTTCCTCAGAGTCCATGGCCCCTGTGGCAGTGCCATCAGCAGCTGTGCTTTGCTGTAGACCCCGGACCCTGAACCTCTGAGCTGGGTCTCAGGGTGGCTGGAGTCCTCAGCCAGGCTCTGACTGATGGCCATCTGTCCTCCAGGGCCCTGTTTGACTATGACAAGACCAAGGACTGTGGCTTCCTGAGCCAGGCCCTCAGCTTCCACTTTGGGGACGTGCTGCATGTAATCGACGCCAGCGATGAGGAATGGTGGCAGGCACGGCGGGTACACTCTGACAGCGAGACCGATGACATTGGCTTTATTCCCAGCAAACGGCGGTGAGGCTCCCAGGGCCTTCAGCCTTCCTGCCACAGGCATCAAATCTTCCAAGGCCAGTAGGGCATGGGTCTGTCCTTGGACTTCTTGGGGATCTGTCTGCTGGCCCTCTTGGGCACTATAACTCCTGTGAGCCTTTGGGGCAAATGTCTCATTTAGGACCACAGGCATCCAGGGGCTGCTGGGAGATGGGGTTGTCAGCTGGTCTAGTGGGTGGGGGTTATAGGGCCCCTCAGTGGACATTTCCCTATGCCCCCTTCCTCCATGTTTTCCATAGGGTTGAGCGACGGGAGTGGTCAAGGTTAAAGGCCAAGGTAGGTAGAAGAGGCGGGGGAGCTTGGGTGGAAGAGTCAGGGCCTCACGGGGTGAACTCTTAACCAACCGCATGGCCTGCTCTTTCTTCCTAGGATTGGGGCTCCAGCTCTGGATCACAGGGTAGGTGGGGTCAGTTTGGGAAGACCTGGGTGAGAGGAGTCCTGAGCTTCTCTTGATATTCTCAGGAAGGCAATGTGGTGCCCCAAGTCCCCTGTCTTAGAGCCCCTCACAGATGACCTACCTCTCATTAGGCCGAGAAGACTCGGTTCTGAGCTACGAAACGGTGACGCAGATGGAAGGTAAGCCTTGCCCCATGCTTAGGCCCCAGCCCTTCCTGCTCCCTGGCTCTGTTCTCCTCCTGAGCCAGCTCTTTCTCCTCAGTACACTATGCTCGCCCCATCATCATCCTCGGGCCCACCAAGGACCGTGCCAATGATGATCTTCTCTCCGAGTTCCCCGACAAGTTTGGATCCTGTGTTCCCCGTGAGTGTGGGGGGCCTGGGATGAAGGAGGGAGATGGGGGGGGGTGGGGCCCATGGATGGGAGGTGGGGGCTGAGCCACTTTTGGGTATTGGGGTGCAGGAGGACATTGGGATTCTCAGAGAAGGGGTGCTTCTCAGCCACTGTCATATTCCATGCATGTCACCATTTGAGGCCAGAGACTTGGAGGACAGCCCAGAGGGTACTGGGAGGGTCGTTCTGTCCCTCTCAGTCTTGGTCTCCCCCAGCAACCCCTTTTTACTGAAGCTGAGCACTTTGAGGGGCTGACATAGACAGTTTTTGAGCTAGAGGGATGGTGGTTAGATCTTTGGGGGGTGGGGTGACTTCCTGGCAGATACAACACGGCCCAAGCGGGAGTATGAGATAGATGGCCGGGATTACCACTTTGTGTCGTCCCGGGAGAAAATGGAGAAGGACATTCAAGCGCACAAGTTCATTGAGGCCGGCCAGTACAACAGCCACCTGTATGGAACCAGTGTCCAGTCTGTGCGAGAGGTGGCAGAGCAGGTAGGACCCGGTGGGCACCTCGTACTCTTCCTCCTCCCTTCTCCCCACCCCATGGCCTTCCTCCAGCTCTCTCTAACTCTCTTTCTCTCTGTCTCTTTCCCTGCTGGGTCTCGACTCCACTCCACCTCCTTCTCCTCTTGGGCAACTCTGTCTGACCGCCTGCTCTCTTGTACCCTGCTCCCTCTGCCGGCCTTCCTTGCTTCCTGACCCCAAACTCGGCGCTGCCATCTGGCCCTTCTTTTTTCCCCTTCCCTCCTCCTTGCCCCATTTCTCCTCTCTTCCTGTGGCCTGCCCTTGGTGGCTTGGCTTCCTCCATCTCGGTCCCCGCTTCTGCCTGACCCCTTTGGCCCTATACCCTCCTCTCGCCTGTTCCTGGGGTCTCTACCTCCCTCTCCCACCCTCTGCTACCTCCTTTTCCCTGCTGCCCCCACCCTGCCCTCTCTCCCTCCACGGATCCTTTCTCCATCTGCCTCTCCTCCCTCCCATCTGTCTCTCCTTGTTCCTTCCATCTGTCTGTCCTCTGTCTGTCCTCCCCTCCCTCCTCCCTCTATCCTACTTCCTTTCTCCCTTTCCTTTGCTTTCTTGCCCCATCTGTCCTATCCTGCCTTCCGTCCCCCCACTCTGTTCTGCCTGTCTCGCCTTGTGCTGCCTCTTTTTTTGGGTCTCCTCCCTGCCTGTTCCTCATCCCCCTCCATCTCTCCAATGCCCTCCTGTGCTGGCCCCTTCCCTTGCTCTCTGTCTGTCCCTTCCCTTTTTCTCTCTGTCTTTCACTCTGCTATACCCTCTTCTCACCTTGACTCTCTGCCAACATGTCTTTTGATATCCATATCACTTCCCTTTTGGTCAACGTCCTGTTCCCCACCTTTCCATGTACTGTGTCCTGTCCTGGTACCTCTGTCTGTCCTTTTCCTGCCACCTGCTGGCCCCCCTCCGCCCACCCTGCCTGCCCCCAGGGGAAGCACTGCATCCTTGATGTCTCAGCCAATGCTGTGCGGCGGCTGCAGGCGGCCCACCTGCACCCTATCGCCATCTTCATCCGCCCCCGCTCCCTGGAGAATGTGCTGTGAGTATGGTCCCAGGGGGCCTCCCCTCCACTCCCCCACACCTGTGGCCCTGGGCCTCAGAGGCCTCTGTGTTCAACTCTCCCCTCATATCCCTGGGCAGTGGCTCCAGCAGCCCTCGAGGGGGATCTGCACAGAGAGCTGGAACCCAGAGGATGCAGGAAATCTCAGGCCTCTCCCTTCTTCTTCCTTGGGCTAGGCAGGACTACAACTCCTAGCAGCCCCTGGGGCACACACCTGCTGGGGCGAGCCAGTGCCTCCAGGGCTGTTGGGAGTTAGAGTCTGAATCCTTTCACTGGGGCTGAAGGCTGGGAGGATGAGGCTCTGGAGAGGTCCCTGGAGTGGCCATACCCGGCTGGTGGGTTGCGGGTAGGGGCGGTCATCTGTGACCCCAGAGGATACTGGGAATTATTATTTTTTTTGCCTCATGCTCTAAATAAGAAAGTACCATTTGCAATTTAACATCTCTGGATGGAGGAGGTAAAAGGCAGAGGGTACCCACCGTCAGGTCTGTATCTCTCACTCTCCACAGAGAGATTAATAAGCGGATCACAGAGGAGCAAGCCCGCAAAGCCTTCGACAGAGCCACCAAGCTGGAGCAGGAATTCACAGAGTGCTTCTCAGGTGAGGCTGCAGCCAGCCCATTACCAGCACGTGATGCGCCTTTGCTCAGATTCAAAAAAGGAAAATAAGGTGGCAGAGGAGTGGGAGAGGGGAGTAGGGACCACTGGGTGGATGATTTAGAAACAGGTCCTCCTTTGGGTGGTTGCAACCCCAAGGCTCATGGCCTAGAGAACTAGAAGAAGGTGCTCCTTTCTCGGGGCTGTTGCCAACCCTCTGGCCAGGCATTGGGCCTCACTCACTGTTCCACCCCCCCCCCCCCCCAGCCATCGTGGAGGGCGACAGCTTTGAGGAGATTTACCACAAGGTGAAGCGCGTCATCGAGGACCTCTCAGGTCCCTATATCTGGGTCCCAGCCCGAGAGAGACTCTGATTCCTGCCCTGACTTGGCCTGGATTCGCCCTGCCTCCATCGCCTGGGCCCTTGGTCTGGACTGAATTGCCCAAGCCCTTCGCATTCCCCAGCCTCCCTCCCACCCCTTCTTATTTATTTCCTTTCTAACTGGATCCAGCCCATTAGAGGGGGGACACTCCTCTGCATGTATCCTCGCACCCCAGAACTGGGTTCCTGAACCCCAGGAACCTGGGGTCTGGGGGGAGCCAGGCTCCTGGCCCCCGGCCCTTGCTCCTTAGGATTCCTTGCCTCTGCCCCCCCTAACGCACACACGAACCCACCGGGGGCCACCCTTCCCCCATCTTCTCCCACACACATTCCAGAAGTCAGGCTTCCCCCTCAAGGAGCACCCTGCTGCAGGGATGCAGGGCCACAGGCCTCCACTCTCTCCTGAGGCAGGCGCTGGGGTCACCCCTGCTCACATCATAACTCCCCATGTCCCTTGATTTCTCATTTATTTTTTCCTTTTTTTTCTTCTCAAAGGTGGTTTTTGGGGGGATAAGTAGGGGACTCCACTGTGGGCCCCCTGCCTTCCACATGCCCCCCACCTTTTTTCTTTGCTGGTTTGCATGAGTGGAAGGTCTAACTGTGGCTTTTTTTTTCCCCTGGGATTTTTTTTTTTTTTTTTGGGGGGGGAAAGGGAGGGATGGGTCTAGGGAGTGGGAATGTGGGAGGGAGGGTGGGGGGCAGGGGTTGGGGGTTGGGTGTCCAGGGGAAGACTGGAAATGCTGCCGCCTTCTGCAATTTATTTATTTTTTCTTTTGAGAGAGTGAAAGGAAGAGACAGATACTTGAAACCTGGTGTGTGGCCTGATTATTTGGGACCTGGGTGAGGAGGGAGACAGGGTGGGAGCTCAGGGATAAGCCTGGTAAAGTCAGATCCTTCTCTACGTCCCCCTCTCCCCCTGAGAAGGTAGAGGGGTCTGAAGGGGCCTTGGAGGGAACGTGCAATCAAGAATGCAGGGTCAGTAGTGAGGACTGGGCTTGGAGGGGATGGAGCTCTGTCCAAGGTCACCGATAGACCCACAAAGAGGACAGATTTGGGATAGGTTTCTGAAAACAGCTCAGCCTCGATCACTTCCCTGGGCTGTCTTGGTCCTGTTAGGCAGCATGATGGTCTATAACGGAAAATACAGAGGACACTTTCTTAGTTCATGTTCATGGAGTTGTGGACGTAGCTGGGCTCTGGCTATGATCTTTACAGAAGTTTACTGATAAGAAATGCTGTATAAATACTTTATTTTCATTGGATTTCTTTATGCCTCATCTCTATAGGAAATATTTGAAGTAGTTTTGCAAATAATAAGGTTAGGAAAATAGAACTTAATACCAAAGATAAAAGTAGGAGAAACAGTTGCTATAGCTATGAGGATAAAGATGATTTCTGAGCTTCTTGGTAGACCAGGCAAAAAATAAATGGTTCATTACCTATTATTATTTTTTCGTTAATCCTCACCCGAGGATATTTTTTCCATTGATTTTTAGAGAGAGTGGAAAGGGGGGAGGGATGGAGAGAGACAGAGAGAAACATCGACATGAGAAAGACACATCGATTGGTTGCGTCCCACACAACCCTGACGGGCCAGGGATGGAACCTGCAAACCAGGTAAGTGCCCTTCACCTAGAACTGAACCCAAGACCCTTCAGTGGGTGGGCTGATGCTCTAACCACTGAGAAACACTGGGCAGGGCTCATTGCTTGTTACTATATTTCATATACACACTTTTATTATTAAATATAAAGACAGAATTCTAGTCCTTTAATTTTTTTTTTAGTACGTGCCCCCTAGCGGGAACCGAACCCGGGACTCTCTCGTCCGCAGGCCGAGTCTCCAACCGCTGAGCCAAACCGGCCAGGGCGAGTCCTTTAATTTTTAATTTTTTTATTTTAGAGAGAACATGAGAGAAACATGGATTTGTTGTTCCACTTATTTATGCATTCATTGTTGCCTCTTGTATGTGCCCTGACTGGGGATTGAACCTGTAACCTTAGGGTATTGTAACAATGCTCTAGTCAACTGAGCTACCTGGCCAGGGCCTCTAGTCCTTTCAGGGAGTCAGATTTTCCTGGCCTTAGGTCCTAACAAGCTCCTCAGACACGGCTACGTAGGGTAGTGGTTCTCAGCTTTCCTTCTGCCACTGTTCATAGTTTGACAGGCTCCCACCATGAAGGCCTCAGCTGCAGCATAAATGAGCCATTGCTGGTACCTGCTGTGATACAGCCCCTTTCTCTCTCTGACTCAGGGGCCTTGGGGGAACACTGAGGTAGAGGGTACTAAGCGTTGTAACAGTGCAAAAGGGCAGTTTTTATAGCAACCCGACAGAAGTTGAGAGTTGAAGGCAGAAGACCAACCCTCAGCCTAAAGTGATCCCTGGACAGAGGCGGAGCTCTCCAGAGGTGTGTCATTTAAACCACTGTCCTCTGTGGATTGTCCTGCAGTTTCTGTGCAGTTCTCTCTCCAACAGAACACAATCCTGGGGATGGGGCCCAGCGGTCTGCATTTCAGGAAACCTCCCAGGCAATTGAGAAAGGCTCCCTAGAGGTCTGTAATATTGACCTGGTAGAACAAGTAGAATTTTATCAGTGGGAATAAGCAAGTGACTCTTGGGGAGAGGAAACAACTAGAAGAGAAATGGCCAGATGGGCCTTGAATCTCGGGGTGAGATGTTTTGTGTTTTGTTTCTAAGATTTCTACAAATTGATTTTTGGAGAGAGGAAGGGGAAGAGAGAGAGAGAAACATGGTTGTGAGAGCCCAGCCTCTGTGAATTGCTCTCTGCACACTCCGCATCCTGCAGGGAATGTGCCCAGAGGGGATGGGTTGCTTTGTGTGAAGTATGGTGGGAAGAGTTCTCAAAGTGGCCCCCAAGATTTCATGCTATCGTCCTGGAACTGGTGAATATGATGAGATCTCACTCTCAGAGTTATGATATATATAGTTGATCTTATATATGATTACATATACAGTCGGTCCTTGAATAATGTTTCACTCGGTCATTTTGTTATAACATTGATGAGATAAACTAGGAACTTAACTCTTGTTTATATCAATTAGCCTATGGTAAAACTGGTTTCTTTATACATCATTTAAAGTCACAGAACCTACCGATGATGTTAAGTGAGGACTTACTGTGTATATATATATGCTGTATACACAGTTGGCCATAAGACAGGAAGATTATTCAGGAGGGTCTAATCTCATCACAGGAGCTCCTTTAAAAGTACAGAGGAAGTCAGGGAGATTTGAAGCATGAGAAAGATTCCAATCACTGTTGCTGACTTTGAAGGTGGAGGAGCCATTGATGAGGAATACAGGGCCTCTAAGAGCAGAGTATGGCCCCTGGTTGACAGCTGGCAAGAAAATAGGGACCTCTGGGGCGGTGAACACACAATACAGTGTGCAGATGATGTTTTGTTGAATTATGCACCTGAAACCTGTATAATTTTGTTGACTGGTGTCACACCAATAAATTCAGTAAAACGGGAAAAAATATTGAGAAACACTGGGGGACTACAAGAAAAAATGGGGATCTCAACCCTACAAGCTGCAAGAACTGGATTCTGTCAACAACCTGAGTGGGCTTGGAAGCAGATTCTTCTCATTTGCTTCCAGATATGAATACAGTCCTGCCAGCACCTTGACCTCAGTTGGACTTCTGCCCTACAGAGCTATGAGCTAATGAAGGGTGTGTTAAGGCACTACGCTTGTGGTATGTTGTAATTCAGGCATAGAAAAAGCATGCAAGAGGCTTTGTCCCTGAAGACTTGCATAATTCAAGGTATGCTTTTTTGTTTATTGTTTTGTCTTCTTTTTAATCCTCACCCGAGGATATTTTTCCATTCATTTTTTAGAGGGAGTGGAAGGGAGGGAGGGGAGAGAGAGAGAGAGAGAGAGAGAGAGAGAGAGAGAGAGAGAGAGAAACATTGATGTGAGAGAGACACATCGATGGGTTACCTCCCCACATGACCCCCACTGGAGCCAGGATCAAACCTGCACCCCACGTATGTGCCCTTGACCAGAATCAAACCAGAGGCCCTTCATTCCTCAGGCTGATGTTCTAACAGCTGAGCCAAACTGGCCAGGGCAAGTTTTTAATTTTTTTTAACCCTCACCTGAGGATATGTTTTTTTTTATCCTCACCCGAGGATATTTTTCCATTTTTTGTACAGATAGAGTGGGAGGGAGAGAGAGGAAGGAGAGAGAGAGAGAAACATCGACGTGAAGGGACACATCGAGTGGCTGCCACCCGCACGACCAACCAGGGCCGGGGACAAACTGCAACCGAAGTACGTGCCCTTAGCGGGAACCGAACCTGGGTCTCTTGGGACCGCAGGCCGACGCTCTAACCGCTGAGCCAAACTGGCCAGGGCAAGGTATATGTTCTTAAAGGAATAAATATAAAGGGCAGTTGATTTCTCTGAGTATGTAGATCTGCCACTATTGCGGCATAGTTTTGTTTTTAGCAACTTTTTAGTTTCTGAAGATTATCTTCAGTATTTTAAAGAGGGCTTGCTTGTAAATCAGCAACCTGATGTTCCATGTCTGGTTTTCTTCACAGTGTTTTATCACTTCCAACTCCCATTCTAAAGTTACTGGTTTTTGGGGGCGTTTTTCAGCACTGGTCCAAGAACTGCTCCCTAATTATGGGTTTGGGGAATGTGGTTCTAGGCACTTCTGTCTATGTAAGTATACCGCTTTCTGCAGTTTTACACACTGAACACACTCATGCAACCAGAGTCTAGATCAAGAAGCTAGACATTTCCAGAACCCCAGAATCCCTCTGTGCTCCCTTTCACTCACTGCTCCTGAGGGGTAACCACTATTCTGACCCAAACGGCATGGGTTTATTTGCCTGAATAAACTACATTGTAAGTGATAATATCAGAGATTGCTCAAGCAACAGCCCAATAGCCACCAAAATTACTGGCCATAGTCCCAGGGCATGCAAACAACAGCTTTTCAAGACAGACTGACAAGGGTGTAGCCAAGGCTTACACACTTTGTGCAAGGGACATGTTCTGTTTCTCATCATGTAAAACTCACAACTCAAGTCCAGTGTTTTCAGGAAATAGGTGTAACAGGATTTGCATGACTTCACATTTGGGGCCTAAAATAAGACTTATGAGTGTCTTTAATATTGCCCCAATTTCTAATTTAGCATACTTCAAATTCGCACACTCCTCTCTGAACATAGCCTTCTCTAAACACCCCCCCCCCCCCAGGAGCTGTGAGGGACTGCTCTCTGGGACCTCGGGGCCCAGCTATGGTGGCTGTACAAGGTCCTGGAATCAGGCGGCCCCAATTTCAGTTCCCCCTTTGCTGCTTCCCTGCAGTGTGAACCTGGGTAAGCTCTTACCTTTCAGGGTCTGGATTTCCTCAGCTGCAGAGAAGCTCTGGGGATAATGACAAGAGTTAATGAATAAAGAGCCCCAGGCACACCGTAGGAGTCAATGGAGGATAGTTGGCACCAATCTCTGGTGAGGCAGGGAAAGCATGCTCTTCTGCCTCTCCCCACATCTTGTTTACCATGCTGCTGGGGAACTTGACTTCACAAGAGATTGAAGCCAGTCAGCCTGAGCTGGGGAGTATAGAGGCTGAGCCCCCAAGGAAGCAGGGGCCTAGGCTCAGATGCCAGGGTCACAGGCCCAGGTTGGGCAACAGCAAAGTGTGAACAGGTTCCTCTGATCATAGTCGGGGATATTTGGGGACATCAACAATTCTAGGAATTCAGAGGCAGGAAGTGATAGAGGGGGAGGGGCAGAGGGGAGACTTGGAACTGCACCCTGGCCCTCCAGGCTTCCCTCCCAAACCATGCAATAAGGAGTGAGGTGACCAGCATATAGAGGTAAGGGGGACAGACTTGGAGATTACCCCTCCCTGGAGAGGAAAGCAGAGGCAACCCATCCCCCACACTTCCACCCCCACACATCGCACATCCCGAGTTCCAAATCCATTTCCACCTCTGTTTAAGTCCAAAGTCCCTGGCACTGGAGATGACAGGTTCGGCACATTAGGAACACACAGACAAGCAGACACGCATAAACACAGGGCTTGGGGTCCTTGTATGGACCCTGCCCCTTCCTCTCCCATTGTCTGGGGCTGTCTGCACACCCCAATTCTCCAGGCTTCAGCTTCCTTCTTGGCCTGGGATCTGCACAGCATTGAGGGATCCAGGAGTCACCCTTGAGACCACCAGCAAGTAAAAGGGGAAGAAAGGCAGGGGGACTGACTGGGGGTGGGTTGGGGAAGGGGTGGAGGGGACTAGCTGTCAGGAGAGGAGGAGCTGGGTGGGAAAACTTCAGAGGATGGATTTTGGGTGACAGGCCTGGGAGGGAATAAGGGAAAGAAGAAAGGTCTCCACGTAGCCACTGATCACTAAGAAAGGGAAAGGACCCCATACCCCAACTCTATTCAGTCCCGATCTCAACCCTAATTTCAGCCTTGACCTAGTCCCAGGTCCAGCCAGCCCTACCATGACAAAGATGTATCAAGATCTTCAGTATCTGGACAACGAGGAGGATCATCATCAGATCAGACAAGGTGAGGGGGTGCCTCCCTCTATTTCTGAAAGGCCAGCCTTAGGTGCCTCTGGCTTCCTTGCCTCAGCTCCTCCTTTCTGTGACCCTTGACTGTCTCTGGGTCTGCCCCTGTCACAAGAACATAGTGCCTGAGCTGCCCCTCTTAGGGGAGGTGCAGGGTATGGGGCTGGAGTCCCTTCCTTGGTGATGGGTACCTTCTGCATGCCTCTCGACCCTTGCCATGTCACTCACTTCTCAGGATCTTGGGGACGGGGTGGGCCTGTGGGCATGGGGGTAATGAAAGAACTTAGGCCCCTCTTCCAACACTGGTGAGCCTTTGGCTATGTGTGTGTATGGTCAGTTTGGTCAAGGGGTAAGATTTCTGTGAAGAGGCTGAGGGATCTCTGATCTGAGGAAGTATGAATTCCTCCTACATAAAAACAGAACCCTGTCCTGTCCTTCCCTCCCCCTCCCAGGCACTGAAAAGAACTGCTGCCCTTTTAACTGGGTGGAGCATGAAGGCAGCTGCTATTGGTTCTCTGTGGTGGGGTTCAGTTGGTTGGAGCGTGGGCCCATGCACAGACTGGTCATGGGTTCCATTCCTGGAGGGTTGGATCCCTGGTCAGGGGTGTATAGGAAGCAATCAATTGATATTTCTCTCTCACATTGATGTTTCTCTCTCTCTCTCTCCCCCCCATCCTCTCTCTCCAAAAATCAATAGTAATAAAAAAAAAAAGACCCTCATTTTTTTCTCATGTGAGCAGGGATGTTGTTGGGGCTGAGTGAGGATCCAGCTCTGGGGGGATGGGAGTGGGCTGTGCCCTTTGATGGGGAAAGGGGTTATAGGAGAGGAGAGAATGGAGGGAAGACCTCCCACATTCCAGAGCAACTTGAGGGACCCGAAGTCTGGCTACTCTACCTTTTCTTCCTTCACTCAGCCAAAGAGCAGTGGGATTCATGGAGAGAGAAAGGAACCGCCTTCTCTTGCCCCACCTTCAGGGAGAAGCAGTGATTCCCCAGTTGGTCTCCCACTCCACCCACCAGTTTCCAGCTCACAAACTCCATCTTCAAGGCTCTGATGAAGTTCATCAGCTGCACTGACACATCCAGGCCACTAGGTGTCAGCAAAAGCCCAGGGCCAGGGTAGGGCTAGGGCAAGTCAAAGCTTTTCTTCCATCTGTAACCCTCTTCCCCACTTCGTTACCTCTGGCCCCTCAGTTACCCATTGCCCATATTTCTTTATTTTAAAAAAATACTCACCCGAGGATATACTTTTTATTGATTTAGAGCGAGAGGAAGGGAGAAGGAGAGAGAGAGAGAGAGAGTGAAATATAAGTGTGCAGGTGAGCATGGATTGTGTGCTCGCGCCCCTATTGGGGATCCAACTGCAACCTGGATATGTGCCCTGGCAGAGAATTAACCGGTGACCTTTCAGTGTAGGGGAGGACACTCCAACCGACTGAGTCACACTGGCCGGGACATGCCCATATGTCTTTATGTGATTCCTCTTAGCCGACTAGAGGAACCTTAGCCTGCTCTCCTACTAGGACCCCAGAGCTGCCCTTGTCCCTGAGACCCTGATGCCCTCTCCTCTTGCAGGGCCGCGTCCTCGCCAGCCACTGTTTCAGCGCCTCTGCTCCGGACCCCGCCTCCTCCTGCTCTCCATGGGCCTCAGCCTCCTGCTGCTGGTGGTTGTCTGTGTGATTGGATCCCAGAGTGGGTGCCCCAGGGGGGGCAGGGAAGGGAGCAATGTTGGGGGAGTTGGTGGGAGCAGAGGTGGGGGGACTGTTGGTAGCTGTGATAGTGGACACAGGCCTCTCATTTTGTGTAATCCACACCTTCTCCTGTCCAGACTCCAAGCTGCAGGAGGAGATGCAGGTCCTGAGAGAGACATTCAGCAACTTCACAGTGAGCACAGAGGCCAAGGTCAAGGACCTGCATACCCAGGGTGAGGGGACCAGGGCTGAGGCTGAGGGGGTGGTGCTGTGGACTGCTAGGGATGTTGGGACATTGAACAAGTTTCTTCCCCAGGAGGAAGTGTGGGCAGAAAGGTGAAGTCCCTGGAGTCCCAACTGGAGAAACAGCAGCAAGACCTGAGTGAAGGTCAGAGGGGAGTCTGTGTGCCAGTGCATATGTTAGAACACTGGGCATCTCTCAGGCCAAACCAAAGGGTCTTGACAGCAATTTTCCCCCTGCAATTTTCAAACGTTTTATTTATTGACAGCAATTTTTTTTATCTCCCCAAAACCAAGGGGTCTTGTGGCAAGGTCTTGTGGCAGGATCTGCTGTCCTGCATATAGAAGCAGACCCTTCCCAACACCTAGTGTTCACAGTGACCTCCTTGCCCTCTTCACTCTCATCCTCCCCCACCCCTCTGTCCTCTGTCTCCCCAGAGCACTCCAGCTTGCTGCTCCATGTGAAGACCTTTATGTCTGATTTACGAAGCCTGAACTGTCAGCTAGCCATCCTCCAGGGCAATGGTGAGGAGGCAGGGATGCCCAACCCTGCTTTCCTGCCTACTTCCCCTTCTGGCAGCACCTCAGCCCCTCCACCCACACTCTGCTTCCCTCCCCCCCAGGCACTGAAAAGAACTGCTGCCCTGTTAACTGGGTGGAGCATGAAGGCAGCTGCTATTGGTTCTCTCGTTCTGCAAAGTCCTGGCCCGAGGCTGAGAAGTATTGCCAGCTGGAGAACGGGCACCTGGTGGTGATTGGCTCCAAGGAGGAACAGGTGAGGGCTCTGGAGGGCTCATCTGGGAGTCTGGCTGATCTATGGAGAGGTCACCATCCTCTTCTTTTCCCAGAAATTTGTCCAGCACCACATGGGCTCTATGAACACCTGGATGGGCCTCACAGACCAAAATGGGCCCTGGAGATGGGTGGATGGGACAGACTACGAGAAGGGCTTCAAGTGAGTGTGTACACCTGCACTCTGTCCCTCCAGCCTGGGTCCAGCTGTCCCCGTGGGTGGGTCCAAAGGCAAGAGGAGCTCCTCGGCTTGGCTGAGGGTCTGGCCTCCTGGGGCCCAATCTGTCTGGTCTTCTTAGGAACTGGAGACCAGAGCAGCCGGATGACTGGTTCGGGCATGGGCTTGGGGGAGGCGAGGACTGTGCCCACTTCACAAGTGATGGCCGCTGGAATGATGATGTCTGCCAGAGGTCCTACCGCTGGGTCTGCGAGACAAAGCTGGACAGGGACAGCTAGGGGCCTCCTCTCCCCTAATTTATTTCCTTAATGCCTTCACCTGTCCAAGGGCCCTCCTTTGGGGATCCTCCTATCTGGGGTCCTCCTGCACATTCTTGAGGATTTTTACCTAGGATTTTAAGGGAAGGGAGAGAATGGTGTCTGAGGAATGCAGAATGATATTCGGAGGGGGTGGGGAGATGAAACCCATGTCACTTTCTGCAGTTTGCAGGTTGTTATTGTCAACTGTTTTTAGAGTAAAAAGAGAAATATATGAAACATTCTGAGTTGACTGGTTATGGGGGATTAAGACTGGGGAGTGGGCTTGTTGGCACCAGGAAGCCTTGGGCAGGTAGTGGGTTATCATGAGAACTGTACGGGCTTTGGGCCAGATGGCGGGATTTGTTATTTACAGGTGTGGGATTTAGGGCAGGTTACTCTGCTCTCTGAGTCTCAGCTGGAAAACAGTGTTGTTATTGGGACCATCCTCCTGCCACAACCCCCCAGGAACAGAGCCACCCTTCGGTGTTGAGTGCTTCCTAAACTTCAGATGAAACTCCTTGGTGTCCGTTGTATGTATCGCAGTGAAGAGAAGCAGCGTCCACAGGCAATAAGTGCAATGAATCAGAGCTGAGCCCCAACCAAGAGTCACCAAACACATGAGAAAAACCAGTTCCATGGCAGGGAAGACCCCAGCTAAATAGAATCCACAACCCAGGACAGTGTTAACAGGACAAACAGGTGAAGACTTTACAGACACAGGTCTATCAACAAAAATGTCCAATTAGCCACAAATAAGTCCCCAACTAATTCTAAAAAGGAGCAATGCTCTAATCACAAAACACAGACATGAAAACAAAAGTAGAACCAAAAATGACCTACAATCTATGCTGTTCTCACCATCTTTCTAGATAATTAAAAAAAAAAAATTTTTTTTTAAATGTTTCCCTCCCCCCCCCCCTTTTTTTTTTTGGTACGTGTCCCTAGTGGGAACCGAACCCGGGACTCTCTGGTCCTCAGACTGATGCTCCAACTGCTGAGCCAAACTGGCCAGGGCTGTCTAGATAACTTTAAGAGAAAAATCAAAGTAAACTTCTGTGAATTAGAAATGAACAAGGAGAGCACTGCACGCTGAGGTTGTGGAATGGTTTAAAGCAGTTCGCAGGAGGAACTGTATGGAGCCTGCGGCACGTTTATTAAGAACAAGAAAGGCAGACCTGAAATAAGCTAAGTTTTAACTCAGGAAACTTGAAAAGAATAACAAAAGGAAGGGGTTTATTTTTTTAAAAGCAAAAATTAATGAACTAGAATATGAAAATGTAGATATGAGCAATAAAAGAAAAATCTGACTCTTGGAAAAGGTGAATAAAATAAACAAATATGAAGGAGAGAAAGGAAACACACACATGATGTTTGAAAGGAGAAAGGTCAAAGAAGTACAAATGTGGAGGATGTGATCATAGAACACTTCCAAGTCTGAAACAGCAGAGGAAGGACAGCGTTTCCCCACCATTGTGATTTTTAGGTTAATCCCTTAGAAACAGAGCTGATGCCTCTCAAACTTAGTAAGGGGAAAAAAATGAAGAAAAAATGTTAATTTAAAGGAAGGCAGGAAAGGAGGAAATAAGATATAAAACTGGTAGATAAGCCCTGGCCGGTTTGGCTCAGCGGTTAGAGCCTCAGCCTGTGGTCCCGAGAGACCCGGGTTCGGTTCCCACTAAGGGCACGTACCTCCATTGCAGTTTGTCCCCAGCCCTGGTTGGGTCGTGTGGGTGGCAACTACTCGATGTGTCCCTTTTACGTCAATGTTTCTCTCTTTCTTCTCTCTTCCTCTCTCTCCCTCCCACTCTATCTGAACAAAAAATGGAAAAATGTCCTCTGATGAGGATAAAAAAAACAAAAAACAAACAAAAAAAAAACTGGTATATAAGAAAAGGCACAAAGTAAAAGGTTAGTGCTGAATCCAAATATGTTGCTGATCAGATTAACAAGACTAAATTACCTTGTTAAAGGACAAGAACTTCCAGACAGAATAAAAAATAAAGTCCAACCATATGCCCAAGAGACACATCTCAAACAGAGAGGTTGAAAGCAAAAGCATGAAAAAGATATGCTAGGCAAATTCTAACCAAAATAATTATTATACAAAGTACAGCTTATAACAAATATTATTAAAGATAAAGAGTGTTGCCCTGGCTGGTTTGGCTCAGTGGTTAGAGCACAGGCCTGTGGACCAGAGTCCAGGGTTGGAGTCCAGTCAAGGGCAGGTACTTCAGTTCCGATTTGGTCCTCAACCCTGGTCCAGGTCCATTGGGAGGCAACCAATGATGTGTCTCTCTCACATCGATGTCTCTCTCTCTCTTTCTCCCCCTGAAGATAAATGGAAAAATATCCTCGGGTGAGGATTAAAAAAAATAAGTAAAAATAAAAATAAAAGATAGAAGTGGAGGTCCTGAGGAGACCAAATTGGTATGGCATTGGCCTCGGGGCTGTGAGGCAGGTGCTGGCTCGCCCCAGACTGCTTGGCCTTGGGGGCTGTGGGGCCCCCAGGCGCAGGGGGTCCGCTCCACATGGAAGCCCGAGCCTCCTCGCCTGGACAGGGTGTAGGAAATCCCTGGACTGGAGCCCATCACCTACGCAGAGAAGATGCACTTCATGCCCGGGCTGGCGTGGCCGGTCTTCCCACCCTGGGATTGCGGCTGGACGCATCCAAAGTTCCGCCGGATGCCCCTGATTCACGAGCATCACCTGCCACACCTTCCACCAGCGCTGCTGCCTCCTCCAGGGTGTAAAGCAGCCCTCTGGCTTACCAAGGCCAAGTTAAGAGAAGGCCTTCCCGAGAAAGTGCTTAGCCTTCTTGATGACCCAAGGAACCACATAGAGAACCAAGATGAACGTGTTCTGACTGTGATCCCTCATGTCTGTCTCTGGCACTCCACTGAAGACATCACCAAGAGACAGACCTATTGCCCAGTCATTGTGAACGGTCTAATGCAGCTGTGTAAATCCCAGATTTTAAAGAATCCTTTTTCTGGCCAGACGTATCTGTGTAGAAAACTACAGGTTACCTACCACCTGGAACCGAGAGTCTATTCTCCTTCAGGTCCATGGTACTAATGGAGTCCCACTGACTGCTGAAGAGCCTCTGCCCACTATCGCCTCCAGAGAGGAAGTTGAAGCTACTAAGAATCATGTTCTTGAGACCTTCTATCCTATACCTCCCACTATTGGTTTTCAGGAAAGCAATATTTATGATGAGAAAGAAGACACAGGATTCCAGGAGGGTTTTCCTTACCTCTATCCCTACATCTTATATTTGATGGAGTCAGCCAATTTCCATCCACACCGCTTTCAACCAGATCAGCTGAGAGCCAAGATGATCCTGTTTGTCTTTAGCAATGCCCTGGCTCAGGCCCGTCTCCTCTATGGGAACGATGCTAAGGTTTTGGAACAGTCGGTAGTTGTCTAGAGTGTGGGCACCGATGGACATGGCTTCCAGTTCCTAGTGTTACAGCTGAACACCACAGATCTGGCCTCTGGTGTGGGCATCAAGAATCTCATCTGGGTGGACTCAGAACAGCTCCTGTATCTGCATTTTTGGTGTCTCTCAGTGATCAAAAAGAAAGTGTTTGTGGAATCTGTTGGGTCAACTGGTTTACAGCCAGAGATGTTCAAGAAGTTTTTAGATCTGGCCCTGGCCGGTTTGGCTCAGCAGTTAGAGCGTCGGCCTGCGGTCCGGAGAGACCCAGGTTCAGTTCCCGCTAAGGGCACGTGCCTCGGTTGCAGTTTGTCCCTGGCCCTGGTTGGTCGTGCGGGTGGCAGGCACTCGATGTGTCCCTTTACATCGATGTTTCTCTCTCTCTCTCTCTCCCTCCCGCTCTATCTGTACAAAAAATGGAAAAATATCCTCGGGTGAGGATAAAAAAAAAAAAAAAGAAAGAAGTTTTTAGATCTGTATTTGTGTGGTGCTGTGTGAGCCAAGGACCTACCTGAGGCCCGAAGTCCCTTGCTGCTCCCCACTGAAGATCCTGCATCCTGGGCTGAGCCCGGGGTCCCACTGAGAATAAAGAGTGCTTCTGTTCCCTGGAAAAAAAATTATATAAGATAAAAAGTGTCACTTTCTACAAGTGCTGGCGAGGGTGTGGAGAAAAGGGGACTCTAGCACAGTGCTGGTGGGAATGCAGACTGGTGCAGCCACTATGGAAATCATTATGGTGTTTCCTCAAAAATTTAAGAATTGAACTTCCATTTGACCCAGTGATCCCAGTTTAGGAATATACCCTAAGAAGCCTGAAACACCAATCAGAAGGAATATATGTACCCTTATGTTCATAGCAGCACTATTTACAATTGCTAAGATCTGGAAACAGCCCAAGTGTCCATCAATAGATGAGTGGATAAAAAAGCTGTGGTACATTTACACAATGGAGTACTATGTAGCTGTAAGAAAGAAAGATCTCGTATCCTTTGAGACGACATGGAGGGACCTGGAGAGTATTATGCTAAGCGAAATAAGCCAATCAGAGAAAGACAAATACCACATGATCTCACTTATTTGTGGAATATAATGAACAAAAAAAGCTGAACAAAATAGACCCAGAGACATAGAAAGGAGTACGGTTCAGACTGACAAACTTCAGAGGAGGGGGTGGCGGGGAGGGATGAGATAAACCAAAGAACTTCTATGCGTAACCAATGGACATAGACAACAATGCTTGTGAGGTGGGGGTGGGGGGTGGGATAGGGAGGAGGGTGTCTGTGGGAGAAAAGGAGAAACGTCTGTAACAAAAATAAGTAATAAAAAAAAAAAAAAGTGTCACTTTCTGCCCAGCCAGTGTAGCTCAGTGGTTGAGCATCTACCCATGCACCAAGAGGTCACCAATTCAATTTCTGGTCAGGGAACATGCCCGGGCTGTGGGTCCAATCCCCAGTGCGGGGCATGTAGGAGGTGGCCAATCGATGTTCTCTCTCATTGATGTTTCTATCTCTCTCTCCCTCTCCCTTTCTTGCTCTCTAAAATCAATAACAACAAAAATTTAAAAAAAAGTGTCACTTTTTTTTTTTTTTTATTATTTTTTTTATTTTTATTTTTATTTTTTTTATCCTCACCCGAGGACATTTTTCCATTTTTTGTTCAGGTAGAGTGGGAGGGAGAGAGAGGAACAGAGAGAGAGAGAGAAACATCGATGTGAAAGAGACACATTGAGTGGCTGCCACCCG